CATTGGTTCAATAGTCAATTCGTCTTTAGCCAAGATTTCTTTGACACGACGTTCGCCTTTAATGCCAAGGTCTTGAGAGAGCTGCCAACTGAGTTTGCAGGACCAGAACTGATTATTCCCTTGGTCCTATAGAAGACTAAATAGTGCTTGTGTTCCAGCTTACAAGACAACCTAGTCACCATGCTTTTCTGCATTCTCCTTCCCACTTTTAGAGCTAGCCAGAGAATATATAAAGTCTGAATTTAAAGCAACTACCCAACTGACATGTAGAGCAAACCTTTGTGACATTAGGCGGCGACAACAGCAGCAGGAATGTTGATTTGGGAAGACTAGAACAGAGCAGACCATCTCCAGCTAGAGATAGGCCACTGGGACACTTGCACACAGCCTTGCGTCTTGGTGCCAAAACACACATATGGGAACAAGCCATCTTCTTGCATGGGCTCTCAGTGTCCATCTGCATTATTGGATGTACAATCTAAAAAAAAAAACAGGGAAATCAGAAACTGGTTTTCAGCAAGCCAAGGTTTGCACTTGACAGTGGAAGACATTGCAGCAAGATACCACTGTAGAAAGTTAGGATTGTCTTGATCTGGTTCAGTTCTAAATTAGACAAAACTCACCTTAATAGCAAATGGTTGACCAGGTCTCTTCAGGATAACCTGCCTGTTCTTGCCAGAGAGTTTATCAACAGCTTGCACCACTCTCCTCTTTGCATCAGACCAGTAAAGCAAGTCATCGAATACAGCAACAGAAAAGGGATAGGTAGTTTCCTTTAGCTGGAAAATCTGAAAGATGATTAAGTGCTTTAAACTGATGAACTTTGATGGCTTACTTTCAAAGCCAGTTAATCTCGAGAAAACTTTTGGCTTCATTTACCTTCACATTGTCACCGTCTAGCGTGGAAGAACCAATTGCATTCATTCGTTCATCTGTCCAGAAAACCCTGTCTGAAAGGACATCTACTGTAATGCCACCTGGCCAGCCCAAACTGCTGTTCACAATCGCCTTCCTCTCAGACCCATCCATGCCAGCTCGTTCAATCTTAACCACGTTGCCAATTTCTGTCCAAAACATCAGCCTAAGAGAGGGATGAGTATGAATGTCAGCTCAGTAGAGTTTTTAATTTTAATGTGTTTTAAAATTGTTTGTTGCCAACCCTTTTTGTGGTAGTAGGGCCAGAGAGCGAGGCTGGTCCAACTCTTCATCCAGGATGATGCTTTGGTCCAGTGACTTGACAGATGCTTTTGCGAGGCTGACGGCAACAATCTGACTATTTACACCATCAATCCAGTACAGGTTCCTTGCAAGCCAATCGACTGCTACAGAGTCTGCCCGGACACCTTTAACAGGAGAATTTAGATTATGCTTTAAACTGATTCAGATGTTGGTAAACGTTTTTTGCTATCCCCAACCTTTAGTGAGAATTCCTGTAGTCTTCTGGTCCATAGAAGACCACCTGATTGTTTCAGTGTCCACACCAACCCAGAAAACCTTCTGGTCTCGCCAGTCATAGTCTATAGACAAGATTGCCCTTTTGGCAGATGAAGACAAGGCATCTAGGCTTCCAGTGCGCAAACCATACATGTACAACTCTGTCTGGACAGATGCCAACAGGAACGGTTCACCTATGAAGAGATTGCAACAATAGACAAGGTATAAGGTGCAAATTACAATGTGTAAATTTGATGAACATACACAAGGTGTTGAAAGAACATTTGGGACAAACGCCTCTTGTAGCATTTAAGAGTTCAGGATACAGCAACTGTTGCGAAAACAGTTCAAGTGTCACAGTTCACCTTATTCCTCTCCCCCCAAATGTTTGGATGCTTTACCTGCGATTTTGCATCGGTATTCATCTGCCTCCATTATAAAACCGGGATGGCACTCACACTGGTATGACCCAGGTTGATTTATGCACAGATGACTGCACGCACTTTGTGCCTGGTCATCACACTCGTCTACATCGGCACACGTTTGACCATCTTCCAGCATCCTGTACCCTGCTGTGCAGCGACAGCGCTATAAATAGAAGACTTGCATAAAGTCAATCCACTACTGTAAAGTTTTAATGTCTTTTCACATTTTAAGTGGCCTCTCACCGGTCCCTGGGGTGTGCTGTGGCAGCTCTGTGTACAGCGGTCAGTTGTAGCACAGGCCGTCTGACAGCTGCCCCCCTCATCTGAACCATCTGCACAGTTGGTAATGCCATTACAGACGAGGACTGGATCCAGACACTCTTGGCTGCCACACTGGAACTCATGAGGGAGACATGTTCCCATTCCACCTGGGAAGTTTAAGTTTTACAACCAAAAAAAAAAAAAAAGAGAAAAGTGAATTCTAGGAACTAAAAAGCACAGCAATCATTTACAGTCTCTGAACACTCATTCATTATTTCAAGCAAACGAATTATAAACATTTTTCAAGTACAGTTAAATATGCATATACTCACATTCTGTCTCGTCACTACCATCATCACAGTCTTTAATCTTATCACATTTCCAGACTGTAGGAATACACTGGGTGTTTGATTTACAAGACCACTGGAAGGCACCACAGCTGACTGGTACTGCGGGGCAATCCTGCAGTAGAAGAGATACAACGCTAGAATTCTAGTGCAACTCCAAAGAAAAGGACGGAAAAAAAAAGTGCATAAATGAGCACCTTTTCATCCGAGCCATCTTTGCAGTCCTGGTCTCCATCACAGAGCCACTCCTGCACCAAGCACTCCTTGCTGTGAGGACAGCGATGTTTGGTTGTGCAGACCGGTGGCGTGGTGCAGCCGTCCTCATCAGAGCGATCCCAGCAGTCGGGGTGACCGTCACAACGCACGGAGGCCAAAACACACTGGCCACTGAGGCACTTAAACTCTGTAGAGCTGCACTGCACATTGGCTACAGGAGGGCCATAGTATGTTAGAGCACTGCGAAGGAGCAGCGACACAAATTGTGAAGTCAGGCAAGCATACCACAGGTCGCCTCGTCACTGCCGTCGCTACAATCCCGCTCTCCGTCACACAGGAAACTGCTGGGGACGCAGCGGCTGTTTTCGTCACACAGATGAGCGCAACCCTCCATGTGCTTGGCACAGCCAATTTCGTCAGAGTGGTCCTGGCATTGTGGTACGCCATCGCACACTTTACTTCTCTCAATACATTTTCTTCCATGGGCGCATTGGAACTGGTCTGCAGCAGGATTATAAAGTCACTCAGCTAAAAGAGTACCAAAATATGAATGCTATGGTGTAGCAGTCACCACTAGAAGATGCCTTTTTATCCTCCAAACTAACCGACTGAGTCGAGTAAAGTTGTTCAATACAGGTAACGTTAGCTAAATGATTATCTAACACCAATGCAGCACCTTAAGCTTGTTAACAAGTAGCCTGTAGGTTACTGATGTTTATGTGCAAAAACAAACCAAAACCAAAACAAACCAGATGCCCCCGTTAAACTCGCCTGGAGTTTAATTCAAGATGTTTAGGTTGTGAGCTCGGAATACAAGTTAATGTTAATCTGAGCTCAATTTATGGGTTATGCTCTCAAACTTGTGCCCAGCTCTACATGTCAAATTCCGCTGAGCAAGTTTTTTTGCCTTGTGTAAAAAAAAACAAAAGAACTATAAAAGCCTATGTTCCCAGTTAACCCTTTGGGTCATACCAGCACTGCATCCCGATTCACAGTTCTGTTCATCAGAACCGTCCTTGCAGTCCTCCTCTCCATCACACACATGGTTATAAGAGATGCATTCTAAGCCATCCTTGCAAAGACTATACCCCATTCTGCAACGATTAAGACAGCTTCCAGCTGGGGAAGAGAAAAAACACCAAGTCATGAACATATAAAAACACACCAAAACTGTTGGGGGGAGGATGCTTACCTTGTAAAAATAATGCTAAAAAGCTCACACAAAGCCATAACTGACCACCCATTGCCACAGGCAAGTCAAAACGAACCAGATGCCAGCACGTTCTGGGGGAGGCAGGTTATAAAGGCAACAGATTCAGCCAATTGAGCCTGATTGCACACCTAAGTAAGGGAGGAGCTGCTGGAGATGTTAGGAGCAGCTGTATGGAGGGCCACAAAAATGCTACAATTCACAAAAATAAATAGCCAAATATTAAGAATTATGTGTGTGCTAATTTATTTAAACTAGATGTAAATTAATGTGAAGAAACATTTTGTGTTTTTTTAAGTAAAAAATTCATTGTTAAAGTAACATCAAATTATTTTAGTATTTATTTCAAAATTTCAGAGCCCATGTAACCTGAATTAATGAACTGTGATTAATAATTGACATCATAATAAAGTGAGGCCTCTGAACAGGGGCGCCGCCAGGAATCTCAGTTTCCTCTGACAAAATATTTAATTGGGGCCCCCAAGATCCCCAAGGAAGTGCTGTCACAATTTCTTGAGTCTATCTGACCCATCAAAAGTGTCACAATTTGAAAGGCTGCAATTGCCTTGCTTTCTTTGGTCCAATATTGATAACTAGCACAATATTTACTGCTCGTAAATTTTACATGCAACATTCCACATACAGTAGCTACATAAGGAGGTTGCTTAAATTAAATCTATTAGTTTTAGATTACCGAAATGTCTCTCCCCAAAAGCAACAGTCATAGGCAACATGCAAAATATACATGAAGCAATCCAGACTACTCAAAAAATGCTATGTAGTTGCATTTTATTCAAGGTGCAGTATAGAACTTTAATAAATAAAAAAAATTTTCTCCATATTTGTTAAAGCTGTATCTGTGTCGTGACAGTTTGTTATGAGACAAATAATCTGTGAAAACGATCAATCAGAACTTTCTTTCTTTTTTTCTTTCTTCCTTGGTTTCATATCCATTAATCTTGATGTAGAATTAATGCTATTTGGTCAAATTACTGTGACCACTGTTGGGTTTTTTTTCGACTCACTCCCGAAAATCACAGAACGAACACATTCCTGTGTCCAATCAGGAAGGGATTAAGAGTTCTTGCGTCACTGTGACGTTTGTAGTCTGTTCCGGTGTAGCTAACGCGGCTAACGAGCAACTGTAGCGCTGGTAGCAACTTGAGAGGAGCCCACTGTATGATTTGGCTGCTGAATTGTACTCAGAAAATACTTTTATGAGTGTTTTTCTCGGCTTCCGGGCGGCAGCTGCTGTTGAAGCGGAGCCTTGGACCGCAAAGCCGGGGTAACTATTGAAAGGCTTCTCGTTGCTGTTGTAGGCTTGGGAGTGTGTTGTTTTGAAGCTGCGGTTGGTGTTGCTCCGTTAGCCACCGGGAGCCTCAACTCAGTTTGGAAGAGTTCGTCCAAGATGCTAGCGCACCTAGGTGCGGATTTCTCCGGAAAAAGATGCGCTGCTGCGCTGAAATGAAGAACCGCTGCATGTACGTCCCCAAACAGTTCATTTGAAAAACAATAACGATAAAACACTCGGCCTGAATCAGATGGGTTATAACCGCTCGGTGCCGAAGTCGCCCCACTTGACTGTTGCGCACAGGAGGGTTTTCCGCGGATCACAACAAAAGGATTTTTGATAACAAGTCGACTGCTAGCTCCGTGAAGCTAACGTCAGCTCCTTTAGCTCGCATTTGCATCAGGAACTAATCTAGCTTGCGTCTCTAAAATGTATCTGCTTTTCTTTGCCACCTGTTATTTTAACAAGTGTCCTTTGGAGATGTGGGAAGCTAGCGCTAGTCATTGTGGTTGGAGCCCAGCAGGCCCCCCTCCAGGCAGCTAACAGTTGGCCCTCCCAGGGCAACCAGGTTCTTGTCGCTCGGCTAGTCTTGTCGCAAGATACACCACCCGATTTCAGTCATTTGGCAGCATTCTTTCAGCTGCTTGTCGGGCTCGTAAATTAGTTTTGCTCGGAAACGAAAGTCCTGCAGTGATGTTAGCCAGTTAGCTCGGACGCCTGTGACGGGCTCATGGTAGATGGACAGTTCTGATCACCAAATCTCTTGTTGAGCATCAGATTGTAGTGACTCTGTTTCAGTTTTTGGGAATTTTTTTGTTGCTCAGAGACCACAGTGGACACCAGAATGGAGCACTTCGTTTTGTACAATAGGTTGAATTTAGCTCTCATAGTTTATAATTTGAGATGAGCCTCTAATTTCTTTTGATCGTTGAGATCTGACCTAATGACTTTGGTTTGTTTTTATTTAATATGGGTCTGCTGCAGTTTATCGTTAAAACTGTGTCATTATTTCCAGACTAACATGTCTAAATATAGTGATACTCCGATTTTCATCCAAATCCCCCGATTTTACTTGGATTGGAGCTGACTGCTGAAAAGATTTGAGTTGGATTTCCTGTTTGTGAAGTAAATCAGTGCACCTGTTTGAATGGTGTGTTTTGGGTTTGTTAAAGATCAGATGAAGGTTATGAACATGTGCTTTGTAGCTATTAACCCCCCCAAAACATCTTACTGCCTTCAGGAAACATACAGGACACATCTATTGCATGTCCTTAATATTAAAGTTTGGTTGTGACACAGCTCAGTATAAGAGTGGCAACTAACAATTACTCCAGTAATCCTTTGTGGCACAATGAATAATCAACTTGATTATTCCGATGATTAATCAATTTCAAAGTATTTTAAAAAAATGAGCCATTCAACTGGTTTTTCTTTTAACCACTTAACCCTTTCTCTCTTTTTTAAATGCAACATTAGAAATACTTTAAAAGTATTTCTAATGTTGAAATAAACAAATAATTCAATTTTCCTTTTTTTAAAATGATAAAATAAAATTTCATTGCTTTACAGTGCATCTGAACCGGGTGAAGCAAAAACTTGAGGAAATACATGCAAAACAAATGTATATATTTTTTGTACTGTTTTGGCTTAATTACTGCTGGGAATACGTTTTTTTTTTTTTTTTTTTTTTTTGAGTCTATGCTCCAGTTAGCAATTAATTGATTACCAAATTAGTTGGCAATTGTTTCAGTAATCAATTAATTAATTGATTGAGCCTCACTCGGTACTGTTGCATTTCCCCTTAAATTTTTGTCTGATCATATTCACGGTGTTTGAAAACAACGTTTATCTTGCTGATTTTGTGACTTATAATACTTTTGATTTTTTTTTTTTTCCTCCTGCAAGGTGTCCAAATCTTTCGAGTGACTTCTAGTGTTGGTTTCCACCCTGTGACTTACTCATTGACAGAGGGGCCCCTCAGAGCAAGGGCCCGAAGCTGTAGCTCCAAGTTTGCCCTCCCCCCTGTGCGCCCCCACCTCACCGGTAAGAGAGAGCTCACACCAAAACCTCCTCTAGGCTCTCGGCGGGTCGAGATGTCGTCCATCTTGCCGTTCACCCCTCCCGTGGTGAAGAGGCTCCTGACGCTGAAGAAGACGTCGACCGGGTCGGGTTTAGCGGGAGGCGGCGAGCAGAACGGGCAAGAGGAGAAGTGGTGCGAGAAAGCGGTGAAAAGCCTGGTGAAGAAGCTGAAGAAGACGGGTCAGCTGGATGAACTGGAGAAGGCCATCACCTCCCAGAACTGCAACACAAAGTGTGTCACCATCCCGAGGTGAGCTTCCTCCTCGTGTTAATGGTTGGGAACTGTTTTTCCTGTTTCTCTCCCTAACTTGACTTTGTTTCCAAAGACGTATTTGTGTGTCGGGTTCAGCTGATTATTACGGTTTGCCTCCCGCTGTGCCAACAGCTCCTGCAGGGTTTGTTAAAGGTCAGGAGAAGACATTCCTTTATGACCTTGATGACCTAGACCAAAGCTCTGCAGGAACGTTTTTGGGAAAGATTTGTTTCCAGGAATTCCTAGGTGTTTGTGTGTTTTAAGCAATGGCTCATTTGTCAACTTTCCCTTTTGGACACTTTTTGTAAATCTTTTAAGAATTTCTGAATTTAGTTTTTATTATTATTATTATTAAAATTATGATTTTGACAAACTTCCCTCCTCTCATTTCCTCTGTTTTGTGCCTTTGAAAACAGAGGACACCCCACCCCAACAAGTCTGGATTTGTTGGGGTGGGCACTTATCGTATCGTTTCTCATTTATTGGGATAATTTTGTCAGCATGATAAGAGTTTTGGTTTATCGTTGTCACAATAAATTCCAATTGATAATGTTCATAACGTCCCCAAAACTTCCCACATTGATGGGTTTGGTACTTTTACTATTTTCTCCAGAAACATAAATGAATGCCAATAAAGGCTGAGTCTGCATGCTTGCAGTCAACAACAGTCACCTCACTGTTGCCAATTCAGTGGCTTTCTCGCTACATTTACCAACATTTCAGACAGAAAAAATTGCCCTGGGCTAAATCGGCAGGTCAGACTTTTCAAGATGGGTAATCAGCGATTGGTCAGAAAATTGCGGTTTGTGCACCCCCAGTTCTTACTGTCGCTTTTGTTATCATCACAAGTCCTAAAACGTATCACCCCCAACCCCAAAAACTCCATATTATGTTTGATTGTCTCCACATAAGTTCTGAGATATTTATCTGTGGAAAAGGTATTTTTAATCAAAACAAAGCCACAACACAGAGAACGGCTTTTTAACGTCACTGTCTTTATTTTTCCTTAATTCCTTAAAAAGGCTTCTTTTGCTTGAAGTTCATTTCCACAGCTGAATCTGGCGGCTTTATTTCGCCACAGAACTCCAATAAGAGGTCCTCTCCAAAAACTACTAATGTTTCTTTTTCTCTGGTTGTGTTTCTTCTCTGTACACAGCAATTGCTCTGAAATATGGGGACTGAGTACGCCAAATACGATAGAACAGTGGGACACGTCAGGCCTGTACAGCTACCCCGACCAAACCAGGTGAATATCCTTAAATTGCATTTGGTGTTTCACAGTGTTTTTAAGACAAGACGTCAAAAACATCCTTGTTGCTGTCCGCCGTCCAATAAGATCCCTAGATGGCCGCCAGCAAGTCTCGCACAGGAAGGGCCTTCCTCACGTCATCTACTGCCGCCTGTGGCGGTGGCCGGACCTTCACAGCCACCACCAGCTGCGTGCCATCGAGGCCTGCGAGTACGCCTTCCACCTCAAGAAGGACGAGGTGTGCATCAACCCCTACCACTACCAGAGGGTGGAGACCCCAGGTGAGAGCAACGCTTGTCGGCCAAATCGCACCCGTCTGGTAGCAGTGCTGCAGAGAGAGCAGCCCAAGAGGCAGTCGTCAAAGCTTTTAAGACGCTCGACGCAAAGTAAAGCTGGAGCTTTTTGTCTGAACGCAGCGAACAGAAACCGAACGCCGCTTAAATGTGTTAGGAGGCAAATTATTAAACAAGTCACCAGAAGAGAAAGTAAACATTCTAACAAACCCTGTTTGAAACGTTCTTGGTTAAACACCAAGTCACTTTTAATTGAATTATTTAGAGCAGGCCCTGGCCCTGCAGTCCTGGAGGGCCAGTGGCATGCACCTTTAAGATGTGCCTCTGCTGCACCACACTTGAACAGAATAATTAAGTAATTAGCAAGGCTCTGGAGAACCTACCTACACAACTCCGAAATGGTTGGAGGTAATTAAGCCACTTCATTCCAGTGTTTCATAGCACATCTAAAAACTGCAGGACAGTGACCCTGGAAGACTGGAGTTTGTGATTTAGAGAATCAATCGCATGTTGGCCTGACGGACAGTGTGTAGAGACAGGAGCTTCAAAAATGATCGTGGAGATGCTGGCCTTTAGTTTGGACCATTTAGCAAGTAAAGCAAAGAAAGTAGGAGCAGCTGAACAGACACTGCAGAGGACCGACCAGAGGAACAAACAAACAACCGACTGAGACAACTACAATTTGAAACAAAACATCTCACAGTTCGATTTCCTGTTTCGAGTAAAACTCTTCCTGTTAGTCAATAAATTCTTAATGTAATTAGCTGATATTCCCAAGTAAGTCTTGTAATCTTTATGAAGTAATCATTCATTTGTTTCCTATGAAATCTATTAGATCTGGTTTTAAGTCAAAAAACATGTTGCAACACAGTGAGCTCACGTCTTCCTGCGTTTCATCCACCACCGTAGTGCTGCCTCCCGTTCTTGTGCCAAGACACTCAGAAATCCTGTCCGAGCTGCCACCTCTGGACGACTACACTCATTCCATACCCGAAAACACAAACTTCCCTGCAGGAATCGAACCTCCAAACAACTACATACCAGGTAGAACCGTCTGGATTTGACTGCCGCCATCGTTTGACAAAGAGTTTTTGTCTAGAGCTCCGATTCAGCATCGTCTGACTTTCTTCCGTTTTTCTCAATAGAGACGCCTCCACCGGGTTACATCAGTGAGGATGGAGAGGCCAGCGACCAGCAGATGAATCAAAGTATGGACACAGGTACCCTAGTTTAGCACGACCTTCTCCTTTGGTGCTGATTAGATGGACGGTATAGTTTGGAAATTAGGTTCTGGTATTATCAGAATCGCCTGTTTAGAGCTGCACAATCTGAGGAAAAGATGTGAATATTGGTGGGAACTGCAATAAGGACATGAGTTGCTGTAAACAAACAAACGCTGACAATGTGAATTTCCTTAAAGTTAACATGGGCTACATTCACACAGCAGGCAAGTGAAACACAAATCCAACTCCTGTTACCCCAAATGCAACTAAAATAAAAAATTTTCCCCCCAAACTGAACTTTTTTTTATGTTGCTCTCCCTATCCTTTCTCCCAATTGCAACCCAATCCAATTTTCTTCTGTTTTATTAATCCAAATTCAACACAATTCCAACTTTCCCCCCTTTTTTTCCACCAAATGTGACACAAATCCGACCTTTTCACTGTAAAACGTCCCAATCCCACCACTCGTAGCTCTGACTTGGATCCAAGAGTTCTTAGTCAGAGAAAAGAGAAAGAGAGCTGTGCTTTCTTTCTATTAGCTTCCTTCATCTTGTTATGGTCTTGTGACGATCATGTCTGCTCCTATTGCTGCATAACTTTAAAATCGATCCAAATACGGCAGCAAGCATTCCTAGGTGGTCCGTTGCACACTGGTGGCTGTTCTTCTGTGCACGTTTTGAGTCATACTGTACATCTGACTGTAGTCCAGTTTAATTTCTGGCCTGAACAACCACACACACACACACACACACACACAGACACGCACACACACAAAATGAACTCCTGCTCTGTAAACGTTGCCGTAGAGAGCAGACGATGAGTACATCTTCTGGAGTAAATGAAATGATTATCTTATCTCGGTTTTACTGAGAAACTTGATTTTTTTTAATGACTCTTTACCTCCTAACATCTTGTATGTTGCTTTAAACGACAAGTTTCACCAAACATACTACAGATGTAGAGGCCGAATGCTATACACTTAAACACCGAGGGGTTCTTAGTGATATGTTTATTCCAGAGGATATCGCTATCAATATCGATACTGTGATGATGATGATGATAAATGAATACGGCAGTCATAATGACGACCTGCTGTAAAACTGTGTTGGTGCTGTTTTTGCTTCAGGTTCTCCACAAGAACTCTCTCCCAGCACTCTGTCTCCAGTCAACCACAGCATGGGTACGATGTGAACCACCTGCTTTATCACTGTTCAATATCATATCGATTTGTTTAGGTGACAACGCATTTGGCGATATTGTGAACTACTACAATGTGATTTCTATTCGGTTCAAGTCACAAATGTGCGATAAATATGACGTGATATCATCATATTTACATCAATCTGTGTCAATACACACACACAAAAAAAAGCAACTAAAATATGACTCTGCCATTTTCTTTCCAAGCTCTTACAGGCACTGAGATAAAAAAGTTGAAATTCTGAAATTGCATATATTTTATACTTGATGATATACTGTAGGTCAATGTTTACTTTTTATATCCATGTAATTAAGTCATTAGTCATTGAATCAATATGATTATATGATCATATTGTTCATTTATACGATAATTTCATATAGAGCCTTATTATTGAGGGAAATATACGGCAATTTACAAATAAATGCCATTGGGGCTGAAAAGATTAATTGTGATGAATCAGTTTTTGACATAATTGTGAACTAATCTAGTATTTGGTTAATAGGAGAACATAGACTCAAAGAAAAAGGTCATTTGCTCAAAGAGCAGCACATGCAGAGCTGCAATGAAGCCAAAGCTGAACAAAAATGGAAACATTTTGCATTTAAGAGTCAATAAAACGTCTACATCTGTAAACGTGGTCCAGCAAGAAGTCAGATGGTTATAGTTTTAGCTTCACCTGGTTCAAATAACAAAGAATCTTGTTAAGCACCTTTTGTGCTTTACTAATTAGAGTTACTAATAATTTAATAATTTCTTTTTTAGCTGTAGATATGCAGCCTTTGCTACAAATGATCCCGTATTCACTAAGGGAATGCTGTGTTGCATTTTAGGCAATTAAATGTTTTTAATAAAAAAAAAAGAATCATTTGTTTATTTACATTATTTAATTTATTTTTAATATTGTTAAAATAAAAAAAGAAAAAAAATCTGCAGAATGCACCAATATTTCTTGTGTGTTTTTAATCCGATCAACCGTCCGCTCGTGTGACCGGTCTGGTTTGGGATGGCATTTGTGTTACCATGATGACTGTAGCTAACTCCCGATGCGGTGTCTCCCGTCCCGCAGACCTGCAGCCGGTGACCTACTCGGAACCGGCCTTCTGGTGCTCCATAGCGTACTACGAGCTCAACCAGCGCGTGGGCGAGACGTTCCACGCCTCTCAGCCTTCGCTGACGGTGGACGGATTCACGGACCCGTCCAACTCGGAGCGCTTCTGCCTCGGCCTGCTGTCTAACGTCAACAGGAACGCCACTGTGGAGATGACTCGGCGGCACATAGGTACGGCACCGATGAGCGTTTGTTTTAGCAGAATATTTGTTTCATTTCTTTACTTCACAATTATTCTATAGATATCATTGAGATAATTAAGCTTATCTCAATGATATCTAAGTAAGAAAGAAGTTTGGACATTAGTTCTTGGTTTTTGGGGCAAATATTCACAAAGTTTTCCCATTTGTAAGGCATGATTAATTGGATTTTTTTTAACATTTTTTTTTTCACAGGAAGAGGAGTTAGACTTTACTACATTGGAGGAGAGGTATTTGCAGAGTGCTTGAGTGATAGTGCCATCTTTGTCCAGAGTCCAAATTGCAACCAGCGGTACGGCTGGCATCCGGCGACAGTGTGTAAAATTCCTCCAGGTAAGAGGCTGAAAGTGGCAGCATGTAGGAACCTCAGAGACTGTTTAGTCAGATTATACTGAACAGTTCTGATAATGAACCTCCTTTTAACATTTATTTCTAATTTAAGTAAGTTCAGCACTTCTTTATTGTTTTATATTCACAAACTGTCACAAAAGCCTCAAAAAGCTGAACAGTAGTTGTCACGTTTCTTTCAAAATAAGCCTTTTTTTTTTTTTCTTTTGTGCGTCACTCCTAAAATGCCCGCTCCGGTTCACGGCTTTCTTCCTCCAGGTTGTAATCTAAAAATCTTCAACAACCAGGAGTTTGCAGCCCTGCTGGCTCAGTCGGTCAACCAGGGCTTTGAAGCCGTCTATCAGCTCACCAGGATGTGCACCATCAGGATGAGCTTCGTCAAAGGCTGGGGAGCAGAGTACAGGTGAGCACCGACACGACTCGCGTTCACTACTGCTGTGTGCGCTTAAGTTTTCAGTTAATTTGCAAGACATCAGTTTGTCTGCACATCATCAGAAAGTCTTCAATTCATGTATCTTAAATTAAGGCCTTAACATAGCTTAAATTTGTTTGTAAGAAAGCCCGGTGGCCTTAAATTCGTTAATCACAGGTCTTAAAATTTTCTCATGGCAGGACTATTTAATCTTTTGTGTATTATTATTATTTTTTTTTTTTACCCTTTGCTGGACCTTTCTGTCATGCACAGACATATTTATTGTGCTTGGTAACTAGCAGCTATTAAACCTTCGCTAGCCAGTAGGGCTAATACCAGAGTAAGTGCAAATGATTTAAATATATGGCACAAAAAGGTTTATTTAAGTCTACAAGTTTTATGTGAATTTAACCTGGGATGCTAGCTAGAGACTTGGACTATAAATAATCTTTACAAAAGGCTAAACAGAATAAATGTCATGATTGCTTTGGAAGAATCTTTAGCCAATGGTATCCTGCTGCAGGCCGCTGCCACCTCTGGCCTCACCACTCCCAGTACCTTTTCCTTTCCATAAATTATTTACTTTAGGACCCAGAACCTTAAATGTACCTCTGTTCATAACACTGTTCTTTTCCAAAGTGTTTAAATGATGCGTTATTCATTGTCTTTGTCACAGATGCTAACTGAAATCCTGTCCAGTTTATGCAAGATGATGTTTAGTTTTTGCTAGCTGACAAACTACGAGACTTTTTCTAAAAGACTACCTAATGTCCTTAAAATGCTGTTACACACATGTGGGTATGGGAAAGTAATTAGCACACTAAATGTTTAAAGCATTAGCAGATGGAATGTTGGAACAACTCGAGACCAAAACTGCTTTTTTAAAATTTATTTATTTTCCAGGCGACAAACCGTCACAAGCACTCCATGCTGGATCGAGCTGCACCTGAACGGCCCGCTGCAGTGGCTGGACAAAGTTCTCACCCAGATGGGCACCCCGAACGCACGCTGCTCCAGTATGTCCTAAACCGCGAAGGAAACGCCCGAAATAACCCTGATACAAAGATGGCTACACTCCAAACCGGGGGGGGGGGGGAGACAGGAAAAAAAAAGTCATAACAAAATTTGTTTTTGTAACATTCTCCGTAGTATTTGTGGTTCGGCTCCACATCCCTGTTTTAACTTCACACACACACACAGACAGAAGAAGAAGAACAACAACACATAGTTCAATTCACATATACTCACATACAGACATTGTTTTTTTTATGGAAAACTTTAAAAAAATAATAAAAAAAAGAGATTGGCACTTTGTTACCCATCTATGTCATGCACCTTGTTGAATTGCTTTGCCCCAAATCCTTAATATTAGATCTATTTGTGGTACAAATAAAAAAAAATGTATATTGGTTGTTGTCTGGGAAGTAGAGGAAATACCAAAAATATCTGTGAATAGGTTCTCAGTGTTGAAGATTGCTTGAATGCTGAAGTGATATATATATTTTTCGTTGTTCCATCCCACCACATCCATTGTTCTGAACCTAAGTTTACTTTTCTCTGGGAGACTTCTCTGTTGTCAACGGGAGGCGTCTTATTGAAGAAACGATGGCCTTGGTGGCTGTTTTTCTCCTGAAGGAAATACCACAATGTGTTTATGAAATTTGATTCAATTGCCTCTGCCACAATGGCGCCCAATTTATTTCTTTTTTTCTTTCTTTTTTTAAACTAACAGTGTGTCGTTCTAAGACATGTCTTCAAGATAGTCATATAGGAATGTTAGTAAAATAAATATTTCCACAGCTCTAAAGAAACTGCACTATCAGACTGGCTGTAGTTTTTATTGTAGTTGGTATTGTTTTATTTAAATTTTTTATTTTTTTTTGTCGACATTTGGCATCCTTCGTTCTTTTTAGCTGATTTGCATCCGGTCCGATTCGCCTGATTTTCTAGATTCCAGCCAGGTTTTGCAGGGCACGCTGGGCAGGGACCAGAACATATATCAAAAACAGAATTTCTTTTTGGACATTTTTGTGTTTTTTTTTTTTTTTTTTTTTTCTCTTCAACACTGGGACTGCTTGAGCTCTGGAAAACGCCTCGTCAGGAGATCTTTGAAGGCATCAGTAAATTTTGCTTCTTTTTTTTGTATTTGTGTGTGTGTGTATATGTGCACACACATAAATAAAAATAAAAATTGTATTTTCCGTCATTCATTTTTTATTTTCAACACCTCAGTGATTTCTTAAACAAGAGAGAGAGTCGATCATTCCTACATTTTACCCCCAAATTGTAGGTGGCATATTTTTTGTCTCAGTGGTGGGGAAATAGAGAAAGTAATCACTGCCCTTACATATGTAGCTTATATCTAGCCTTTGTATTTGTTTTCCAAAGAAATTTGCTGCGTTTAAAGCTAAACCCCCCACACCCAGATTTGACTGAAAGTTTGAATCCAGTTTCTTAAAATTATAGTTTTTGTAGATGTTTAAAAAAATTTGTTTTGCCCATTTTTTAAATTTTTATATTTTGTGCGTGTGTATAATTATTGTCCAAGCACATTTGACCTTTTTTTTTATGTGCTTTGTCGAGCAAGTTAACTACACTCAATTGGCTTTTAAAATGTTACAGCTAAACTGGATGGGAGTGAATGTGCCTGCACACTGGGACATTACGTGTTGATGTGCGTATTGTGTTTGTTCAGTCTTTAAAGGACAGCTTGTACAACGAGACTTACTACCTTAAACTCATTACTTGGTTGTTGCAAGTTTAAATATGTCCCCAGTCCCACCCGTTGATGTACATGTGTTTACCATATGACACTAGAGATTGTACTTGAAGTGCAACTAGTGAATTATGATTTTTTTTTTTTGGGGGGGGGGGGAGTTGAGGGGAGGAACTGAACCATGTGTTTGGGTCCAGTGTGACATTGTTCTTATCTTTGGCCTACAACATATGAATGTGAAAAAAAAAAAACAAGAAAAATACAATACAAAAACTGACGTGGACCAGATGTGCGTATGCATAAAAGTAGTACATTATGTGTGTATAACAGTAATCTTTTTTTTGCAAACCAGTCAGTACTGTAGACGTCGCAGTTGTTTTACCAAAAGAGGGCGGTATTGATAGAGCAGGTTTTTTTTCTTCTGTTTTTTTCTTTTTGTTTCTTGACCATGAGCTTCTCAGGCGTGTGGCATATTATGCAGACTTCATAAAACACTAATAAAGATTTTTATTCTCATGAACCTGCCTGTTTTTGTTAAAAAAAATAATAAAAAATTGCAATATGCAAAGGGTTTTGTGCATGTTCTAGGGCACATAGTCCCGTTTTATAGCACAATGGAGTATGTTAACTTCAGTTGTGATATCAAATATTACTTCAAAGAAATTCAACTTTGTAATTTAGCTCCTTGAAATTGGGCCTCTGTCTCTTTAAGAAACTCCTGCACCTTCTGAAAATCTGCTTGGGGCTTGCTAATTGTTGCTGGCTAGTCTGAAGGCGCTCAGTGGGGGAGTGGCTATGTGAGGCCGAAGCTCAGAAGCTTGGAAACAGCAACGCGGAGGAGGAGCTGCGCCTTAAAGGCGGAGCTAGGTCCAACCAGGTGTTTTCCACAGCTGAATGGTTACCATGGAGATTAAAGGAGTTCTCAAAAATGCTTGAAAGAATCAAAGCAACACTGCAGGTATGTTTTTTGTTGATGAGGGAATAACATAACGTGATGTAAAGCTTTTAAAAAATGTAAAAGCTTTACAGTGTGGCAGTTGCTACGGCACAGGGAATGAGAGGAGTCGCAGAATGTACAAGACATATGTTAATTTTACACCTTTAATGGTGCACTACATCACACAAAATGAAATATGAGTATTTCTGAGAAGTATTGTAATTACACGGAGCCTTTATTTTAACAGAATATGAACGACGCTCGATTCTGTGTATTATTTAAAAAAAAAAGTGTGGACTTCGACCAGTCGGACAGTTTTCCATCCTCGGCCACCGTACTCCACGTCATATGTAAATAGCTCCAGCTAGCCTGCAGTTAGCTGTCTCAGACTTATAATGGCGTTTACGCTGTACTCTCTAATTCAAGCAGCTATCCTGTGTGTAAACGCTGTCGCTGTGTTACACGAAGAAAGGTTCCTCAGTAAAAGTAAGTAGCTCGGTTGTAAATTCCTCGAGGCATTGGACAGAACTACTGAATGTGGGCGACTTGTTAGCTTATGCTAGCGTCCTAATGAGTATACCAGGATGTAGCGGAATTATTACATGTTGTTTCGGTGTTTGTTTGTTTGTTTTCGCTCTCGGTTAGTCGGCTGGGGAGTGGACCAAAGCGTCGGAGGGTTTGGTGATGAACCAGGCATCAAAGTTCAGCTGATGAACCTGATCCGCTCTGTGAGGACAGTGATGAGAGGTGCCTGTTTCTCCTTCCTTACACTTCACACGGAACATAGCTTCAAAATAAATATTACATAACTTTTGACCAGTTTGTCTATGTTTTTGACCGGGGTCCTGGTCATATATTAAGAAGTTTTCAATAGAAAATATGAAATTGTCAACCACATTACATCTAACCACAAACCTAGAAGTTTTGTGTGTGTGCGCGTGCGCGCATGTATGTGTGTGATGGCGTGTTAGGGTCAGTAGAGATAGAAAAGAACATTTCTTCCAAAAAAAAACGTAAATTTTTTTAGATAATCTGAGAACATTTCTAGAAAAAAACATGTAATTTTCTGAATTTGCAAAATAGAAAATAGTATTACAGTATCTGATGTATTGAATACACTAGAAAGTGTGTTTAATACTTGCGTAGTTATTTCTATTAGACAAGACCAAAAATGCATATTCTAATTTATTTAATATGACTTTACATGGAAAAATACTTCTTTTAATTCAAAAACTGTTGGGTGGGATATTTTTGAATCACCTCATTTATACGTGAAAGATTGAGTAACATGTTGACCTTAATGTATTTTAAGGTTTTGTGTACCATGTAATGTAAAATACCAAACTGATAAGCTCCACTGAAAGCACAATTTATAGCCTCATAGCTACAAAATGTAGGCATGCATTATAAGATCTCAGCATTTATTTTCATTTTTGCTTAAAAAAAACATTTTTGGGAAATATAAAGTTAATATAAAATATTTTGTCATTTACATCAACACAGCCAAAGTTGTGCAAAAAGTGAGTGAAGATAATGTCAATGTGTTAAATGTTTCTTGGTGTGTGTCGTCCTGCAGTGCCGCTTATAGGCGTGAATTCGGTCTGCATTGTGCTGCTGCTTCTGTTCGGATGAAGAACAGTCGACCCAGTCCGGGTGAATCAGCCCACTGCCACAGGTCCGTCTGCTCGGGAACCACTCGGAAGAACCGGCTTCATAACAACCCCATGGCGAAGACCTGAATCTGAATGTTTCTTTCAACAACAAATAAAGTCAGAACTCTGATGACCCTTCCCCCAAAGAGTTGATCAGCTAAATACAAGTTTTACAAATCACCATCAGAGATTTTGACTCTTAAAAGAACTCGCAAGAAATTTGAATCGGTTGTTGAAAATATTGTTTTTGTCCGAATGCTCAGGAATAAAGAGCTTTTCAGATCACTCCGTCTTACAAAGTGTCACTGGAGAAATTCCTGGAGGAATTTGTTATGTACTGTAAAAGTTAAAGGATTCTTCTGGTTTTATTTGTCATTTTTAAAGAATGCTAACTCATTTTGTGCTGTGGAACTTCCTTTTGCTGTAATAACATAACCCATGAAATCCTTAAGTTTTAAATAATTTCCATGCCTGTTAGTTTGATTTCCAATTTATTCCCTTCCTGATGTTTTGAAGTTGTGAATGTTGGGGGTGAATGTTTTTAACGCCTCAACTGCCATTTCAACATATAGGACTGAGTTAAGTTTCTTATTTTGAAGGGTATCCATGAGTTTTAATCTAAAAGACCAATAGAATCACGTTTTCCATTTGTCGTAAGACCAACATTGCCCATCAATACTATGGAACCTACTCTTATTTTGAAGGCCATCTGAAAACTTTATTTTGAATGATAATAATTACTAACCTTATGGGTCCGGGAGTGTGCCTATTGGGAATGTGTGACCTATTCTACTCATAAAGACTTGAGTTTATTATTTTGAGAAGTATGTTTGTTCTACTGTGAACATTTAAACGAACCTTTTAATGGTTGCAGTCCTGACCAGTAAAGAGTCGAGCCTACTCTTTCAGTTGCAGGTTTTAACAATTTAAAACCTTCTCTTGAAATTATCCAACATATACTGGAATAATTTTGAAGAACATTGTTTTGTTCAGAATAAGGGAGTGCTTTGAGTTAATTATTTTTTCAGTCGTTTTTTGTGTGTGTGTAAATAATCGAGCACGTTTGTCTCATGACGCTTGCCGTCGAACTCCACAGCGTCTCGCGCCCTTTGACCTACATCAGAGTTGAAAACAAAGTGACTAGCATGGGAAACGCTCGCAGCTGTGTTGTGGCCTCGCTCTCTATATGCTCGGTGTGTTTAGGCTACATGTACATTCGTCGCTGTCGTAAGCTGCTGCGGCAAAATGCGCTGAATAGCGACAAACTTGGGAGCTTTGTGTATCTTTACCTGAAATATCTGAGCAGAGCTGCGACGCACCTACGTGAAGCTGACACCCCACCTACGTCATAAAATCCAGCAGATAGTCAGATTGGTTAGTGCTCCGTTAGTGCAGGTTTGTGCCGTTAAAATTTTCGTTTGTGCAGCTTTGGTTTCCGAGATATTAAAAATTATTTTTTTAGGTCATCAGAGTTCACCATCCCCCCATATAGCTCCAAAACAAACCAAAGTGGGCTGGTTCGTTGGTGCTCCGTTAGTGCAGGTTTGTGCCGTTAAAATTGTCGTTTGTGCAGCTTTCGTTGTTGAGATATTAAAAGTTATAATTTTGGCCGATTACGTAACCATCCCCCCATATAGCTCCAAAACAAACCAAAGTGGGCTACTTTTTTAGTGCTCGGTTAGTGCAGGTTTGTGCCGTTAAAATTGTCGTTTGTGCAGCTTTCATTGTTGAGATATTAAAAGTTATAATTTTGGCCGATGACGTCACCATCCCCCCATACAGCTCCAAAACAAACCAAAGTGGGCTACTTTTTTAGTGCTCGGTTAGTGCAGGTTTGTGCCGTAAAAATTTTCGTTTGTGCGGCTTTTATTGTTGAGATATTAAAAGTTATAATTTTGGCCGATTACGTAACCATCCCCCCATTACGCACCAAAACAGACCAAAGTGGGCTGGTTTGTTAGTGCTCGGTTAGTGCAGGTTTGTGCCGTTAAAATTTTTGTTTGTGCAGCTTTCGTTGTTGAGATATTACCAGTTATAATTTTGGCTGATGACGTCACCAGCCCCCCATATTGCTCCAAAACAAAGTGCTAGGTTTTGCCGCTGTCCCTTGTGAGATATTACATAATTTTGTTTTAGACAACTGACTACACCTCAATTGATGACTGTGGCCTTCGCTGGACATAACCACAAAGCAAGCAGTGATAAATTTTGTCATTATGTAAGTTAAGTTCTGCAGATTTTCAACTGTTGTACAATGTACCTTCCTTTGTTTTGAACGTCAATAAAAATTTAGAAAAAGAACAAATGTCTCATTTTAAGAAATTTTTTTAGATAGTAATTTTTTTCACCAGTAGCTATAGCTCTCTACACAATAATTGAATCCTGTCAATAGAGGACATGCAGCCATGACCATTATGTAATGTGTATAAGTTGTATGACTGTTCAACTGTGCTTTGGTTTCAGACGTGATCTGAACAATTATATTGACATTGTTGATGTCTGCTGATTATGCATTTAAAAAAGATTTTTTAAAAATCTATAGCTAACATGCTAGTTGCTTGAGCAAATGAATTTTTATGCCTCGTAAAACTGGAAGTGCATGGCAGCTTCATTGGTTCAACAAAGTTCATCCAAGTAATGTACTTAATATTTAGTAAATATATTTTAAATCCCACAAGTTTCATTTAATACAATTTCTGACATAAAATGTATGCATGGGCAGCCATGCCATAGACAGAGTCTGTTTTTGCAGTTCTCTGCAAGTCAAAAGAGGCTATCCTCAAAAACAGTAATATAGCCACTTCAGCTGCCGCTGTCTGGACAGAGCTAAGTCAGCAGTTGGAAAATAAAATGTCTGCAAAAGGCCTACACACTATTGTAAAAATGAACAGACACAACATCTGGGCAAGATTGGAAATAAATGCTCAAGAAAGTGATACTGAAAGCTCTGTGGACACAGAGTTTGACTCTGGCACCACTTCTTCTGGACAACTTTCAGATTTAAGTTCCATTTGAAGAATGGGTTAAATTTATACCTGAAACAGTTGAATACAACAAGTTTTCAACATCTGGCAAAAGGAACTACACAATTTTAAAACCTGGCACTTGGACTCATATCAATGATCTGGTGTGGAAAAAATTCAAACACACATGTACTTTTGTATTCCAAAGAGCAAAGTTTATCCAACTGTCACTAATAAGTACATTGATATCAAAGACTTCTGTAAAGAGTGTCAAGGCCATGTTACAATGACATGCGACAGAGAGCCAACAGACAACAGAATGCTCCAGTGTTCCATCGAAGGTGCTGACATCTCCCTGCACACTGGCCAGCCCAAAAGATGCATGTCAGGAACCCTTTGTGCACAAATTTCAAAGGAGTTGTGTGAGGATAGGATGGAGCCAGCTGTATGGAGGTCAGCAAAGGCATCAGAGTTGATGGATTTCCAGACTGACCTACGAGACTGGGTGTCAAACATTTGTGAGGAGAGCAGGACACACTCTGCATCTAATGGGGATAGGGATAACATCAATTTCCTCCCTGAGATTATGCCACACATTATAAGACTTGCAAGTTACTTACCACTGTGAACAGTAATCATGGTTCCCCTCTTCAAAAGTACCTGCCTCACAGCAAGCTCAGCCAATGTTGAAGCATAATTCAAAAATGTAAAACATGGCCTCTTCAAACATGAGAACTTACCCATTCGAGTTGATCACTTCATTTCTCGGCATTTTTCCTTCATCGAAGGAAATATGCGGATTTACTCTGAAAAAGCAAAACAGGAGGAGGGACAAGTTGCATCAGCAGAAGTTACAGAAGCTAGCCCTGCATTCATAATTACCCGCAATGCTGAAGGTAGCAGAAACATGGATTCTAGTGATGTAATGGAATCGGAAGCCACCAGAAACCTTTCCACCGCAGATGAAAATGCGGTTGAAAACTGGAGAGGACAACTTCTTCCACCCAAAAAGAGGAATAGGACTTCATACCCGAGTTCCTGCACTGAATGGTTCCATGCAGATTCATCATCTGGGGCCAAAAGAGTGAAAATAGGACTATTGAAAAATGGAAACATGCATCAGCCTGTTAAAGTTGGGATATTGTCACTCTCTGTGTTAAACACCTGCTCCTTTGATGCCTTTTGTAAGTGCTTATGCTGTACTTTCTGTGACAGCTCTGCATTTCAAAATGTTGTCATGAATGACAGTGACAACCCACTGTTGCAGCTGGTGAAATCCATAGCTATAGATGGTGTGACCCCGAAGAAATACTTGCATAGGGTAGATCTACTTAGTTCAATGTTTACAAAAACACAGTTGAGGTCTGGCGCCCACCAAATCGATGCACAGTGCAATAGTTCACTGTCAAAACACTGCTCTTCACAATACTGCCACCTAAACAAAGGAATGAACAGGGAAGTACCATTTGTTTTACCAGACATTTCTGTTCCGAAGATTTCTGGCATGGGTTACACAGCAAATTTGTGAGAGAAAAATTTTGGGGAGAAAGTTTGAAGACTAGGCTAAAGGAAAATAGTGTCATGCTACATGGACTCCACTCCGGGTCGCTCCTGGAACATCCTGTCATTCTGATCAGTTTTTTTTTTTTGCAAGTTTTCTATTCAAGACAGGATAAATTAATTTCCAATTGTCAATACACTGTTTGTTGTTGTTTCAATTGTTAAAGTTCATTGTTCAAATCAACACAGTTTCTTATTTGACTGTCAACTTATATTGCATTTTAAAACCAGCCACTTCCATGGTTCACTACTTCTCAATTGCCTCACAATGCAGATATTTGGGTGGGTAAAAAGCAAACCATAACACACATGTATGCAAGTTCATGCATAACAAAAATATAATAAATTACCAGAGATATTTTTCTTCTGCAACTGTATTGATTATGCATGATTTCTTGCAAACAGTACCTTTCTATAATAATTAATAACCTCAATTGCATAAAAACGACACCGAAAACAAAACTTACCACAGACAGGAATTTGCTGGAAGACAACTGGCGAGGAAATGAAACAGGGAGTACAGCATGCAGCAGGTGAAATTAATTGTCCCCTAATTAGGGAATGTACTCAGTGAATATACACTCTGAAACCACCAAATAAAGTAAAATAAGATTTCGTTGGTTTATTTAGAAAAAGTAAGAATAACAATAATAGTGTCATCTCAAATTCTCATTTGCATAATATAATCTTTGGTGACATTGTGGTCCACACAACATTCCAGTTACAAACCTGTACAAACGGAGCACTAAGGAAGTAGCCCACTTTGGTAGGTTTTTGTACCGGAGCTATATGGGGGGATGGTTACGTAATCGGCCAAAATTATAACTTTTAATATCTCAACAATGAAAGCTGCACAAACGAAAATTTAACAGCACAAACCTGCACTAACCGAGCACTAACGAAGTAGCGCACTTTGGTTTGTTTTGGTGCGTAATGGGGGTATGGTTACGTAATCGGCCAAAATTATACTTTTAATATCTCAACAATAAAAGCCGCACAAACGAAAATTTTTACGCACAAACCTGCACTAACCGAGCACTAAAAAAGTAGCCCACTTTGGTTTGTTTTGGAGCTATATGGGGGGATGGTGAACTCTGATGACCTAAAAAATAACTTTTAATATCTCAACAATGAAAGCTGCACAAACGACAATTTTAACGGCACAAACCTGCACTAACCGAGCACTAAAAAAGTAGCCCACTTTGGTTTGTTTTGGAGCTGTATGGGGGGATGGTGACGTAATCGGCCAAAATTATAACTTTTAATATCTCAACAACGAAAGCTGCACAAACGACAATTTTTAACGGCACAAAACCTGCACTAACGAAGCACTAACGAACCAGCCCACTTTGGTTTGTTTTGGAGCTTATATGGGGGGATGGTGAACTCTGATGACCTAAAAAAAATAATTTTTAATATCTCGGAAACCAAAGCTGCACAAACGAAAATTTTAACGGCACAAACCTGCACTAACGGAGCACTAACCAATCAGACTATCTGCTGGATTTTATGACGTAGGTGGGGTGTCAGCTTCACGTAGGTCTGCGACGCGGAGAGCGGGTCACCTGTACGCAGCGCGCGCCGCCGGCGGAGCGCGCGCTGCTGTTGTTTACACGGCGCTCGACTGCAGGTGAGTGAGTGAGTTAGCGGTGTGACAATAAAACACTTCATACACAAGCCGGACTGCCCTCGTTTTGAGCCGGCGTGTCTGTGCTGCTCTGTGAGGCTGGACGGAACTTTGCTGGGGAGCTTCTGCGGAGCGGCGGGATATGGACGGGATTATCCGGACGCTGAATTCAGAGACGTCCCGCTGTGCTTCCCGGAGGTTCTCTGCTCCAGACTGATGCTCATGTTGTTAACAGACCACAACTTCAGACTCAGCCCGGCAGGTACCACAACAAAAACACCAACAAACGCACGTCCCTGCAAAGGTGTTCATGACTTTCGGCGTGGTTAAGCCACATTACAATTAAACATCTGGTTTCTGTTGAGACTTGAGAGGAATAAACTCAAAAGGAGAATGATGCCTGGTTTTCTAATATTTGCTCTATGTAATATTTACAAAGAGTAAATATTTAAATCCTTTTTGTAAGTTTGATGACTTATAATGTCAACCAAAAATTGAGTGTCTCCGAATATTAGATTGTGAAAAAAAATTAAATATTGGAAACTCAATAGAGTTGTACTCGACGAATTAGGGACTTGTGGATGGGAAGAAGAAGAAGTGCATTTCAGCCCAAAAACCCAATTTTCTAGAAAACGCAAAGGGCATTTCTGAGATCCAAAAGCAGAACATTTACTAGAAACAAACTCAGACATTTTGAAGAAGATAAACATGGACATTTCTGAGTTTGAAAAGTTAAAGAATTGCTAGAAAAACACTTAGTTAGTCTCAGAAATGCTCTAGGAAATATGGACATTTATGCGTTTCAAAGGTGAAAACGTTTGACTTTTGAAAGTCGGAAATGTACTCTCACTTTTTTCTTTTCTGTCTTCAGTGACCCTAATATCTCTTTGTACCAATAAGCTGAATAACTCTAAACACCTGTAAAGATTTTCATCTAAATGTTCATACTACCACTTTGTTATTATTCAGATATTTAAATAATAAAAATACAACTAATCAATAATAATTGATATCAACTGAGATGAAACCCTTTTATATTATGATACATTTTCAGTCCCCTTTTTTTAATTAAAATTATATCTTTAGCTTACAATTTAATTAAAATTCTCCATTACTTTGTGTTGGATAATTATGTTAAAATCCAACTGAATCAAATGAATTGTGTGATCGTGTCATAATAAAGGGGGAGTGACTACTTTTGTAAGGAACTGTTAATGCTGAAGTTTTCAGCAGACCCACGTCAGCAGTTTCACCGAAACGGACTTTCTGTCGTCAGGTCTGGTCCGTGTGCGACAGAGCCTGAGAACCCTTCAGCCAATCGATGAGCTGAAGAAGGGTCCCTTCACGCTGCAGGCCGCGGTGGAGGGATACCAGCAGACGGATGCAGGGGTGGAGGTGGACATCTGTTTGTCCGCCACGTCTCGTTCCGGATGTCCGGTGTGGACAAGCGTCCTAACGCTGCTGTCACGGAGCCGGCGCCACGAGCCCAGCAGAGCCCTGCTGAGGAACGAAGGCGAGTGTGAAAACTGCTGTGGTGATTTCTGCTCAGGAACGTTCGTACCTTACATTTAGAAGCAAACAAACAACGCTCAGCCTGGTGGGAAGTGTTGTTATCCCACCAGGCTAACAACGCCAACCAAGCGTAGCCTGGTGGCCCTCCAGGCTTGTCGTACTCTGGGGGGAACTCTGCATTTACTCCGTTACATTTAAAAATGTACTGTAGGAGTATTTTTACTGTGCTCTACTATTTGCTCGTTGAGGCAGAAGCTTGGAAACTGCAGCTCTGAGTACGATCGACGTCCAGCCAGGCCTTCTGCACAGCTGAATGGTTGCCTTGGAGATTAAAGTATTTCTCAAACATGCAGGAAAGAGTCAAGGCAACAAGTATATCTTTGATGAGCGAATAACATTATAACGTGATGTAAAGCTCAAAACAACTCTGTTCTACATAATGAATCGTCTTTAAAGTGCCAACATTTTCTCATAACTTTATAATTTGGTCCTTCTGATATCATTTTTAAATGTTATGATTTGATCAATTGCTCAGTATTTGAGTAACCGTTTTTACTCTTACTTTATTTCTTGAATGGCTACTTTTTATTTTTACTTAAGTAAACATACATTGAAGTGCTGCAATGTTTTTGCACTTTTCCTTTCATACATGTGAATTTTACTCTTTTAGAGGAGGAGCCAGATGATGTGAAGCAGGTGGAGGTCAGAGTTCCCATGACTACCGGCCATCAGTGTGTTTGGCCCTTCACTGACTACTCCCCCCATCGCCTCCTCTCTCTGCCGGCTGTGATCTGCGGCCTGAAGTCTCGAATGGCGCCAGGTTTCTGGATGCTGTCCGTCTGCTTGGCCGAAATAGAAAAGCGCAGAGGTAGGAAGGCGGCCGACTAGCGACCACAGATTTTTTTTCTGCAGCCGGGCGAATGATGCGACACGTCTCTGTTGTGCCTCCAGGTGTCGCAATCATCACAGCTCCCGTCAGCGTCACGGCCCACTTTAAGGAGACTTCGCCAGCGGGAGAAACCGTGACGATCAGGTTCTGGGGCACGAGGAAAAACGAGGGTCGGTCTGCCGATGAAGACCTGAGTTTCCAGGTGCAGCTGCAGGGACAAAGCTCCTCCCACATGGTGGGACTGATTTCTAGAACCTAATTAACAGACAGGAGTGACGGTTCTGCTCAGACACTGTGAAGCGCTTACGTTTTGATTCATTAGGTTTGCTCAGTTTCAGTGTCAACAACACTTGACACTGAAACAACACCATGTTTTTTGGAAGTCCACGTCTCTTTTGACCCACCTTCATTTGCAAAGTTGCTGCTACTTTTTCTCCTAAATCCTTTTGGAACAAGCAAAGTTGGACCAACGTGTTCCATCAGAGGGTTTACAAAGTGAAAATGATATGAAAAGTACACAGCAGGTTGTGGTTTTGTTCTTGTGTTATTACGTCTTTTTTATGGTATTATTCCAACTCTATCGCTGTAATATTCTGAGCTTATTCTCCTATTATTTCAACTTGTTGTACCATGTAAATTTTTTTTCTTAGCCTCGCCCTAATACTCCGTTCATAGGATGGAGAGCGTCTGTCAACAAAAATGTTGACGTACTGATTTTCTGATCAACTTTGACGAGGCCATTCATAAACAGAATCTAATTGAAACCGTTGGCTCTATGTTTAGAGTCATCATCAATAGCTGGCTCATTTTTTGCTTGTTTTAAAATATCTGTTGGAAAAAATCTGTGTTCATTTCATTTATCACCAGAATGATCCTCACTTTGTTGCAGTAATAATAAATGTTTTATCTGGTTTCTCTTCAGCAGGGTCCAGTCAGATTGAGGTTCCGGTTTTCGCCCGACGTTTTGTAGACCTGCTGAACACTTTGTCGGTGCCGTGTCTCCCCACTGACCGCATTGGGTCAAAGAAAACATTACTCCTGCTGTGACTGAACGTTTTTCAATATTTTATCACTCCAGCGTTTCCGTTTGCAGCTTCCATGTGTGTGAGAGTCTGTCTTCTTCATTTATTTATACGCCGCCCTGTAGTGTGCGGCACAGAGAGGAGTGGCTCTTCATGCATCGCTGCACAGCTGAAAGGTCTCACTTTAAAAAATTTGGTTGTTTTGAAAAGCTTTTTGGGGTCAAACAAAATGGGCTTGGAGGGTTTGATTACAGTGGAAATGCAATTTACTAGGTGTTTTCTAATAATCACATTTTTGTTTTATGTTGGGTTTTTTTTTAGGATTTGGATGAATGGATTTTTCTTCTAAGATTATGAAATAATTATGACCTCCTCTGTCTTCTGGTTGAAAATGACTTACAATGCATGTGTGAGGATAGCTTTACAAAGAACTGGACCCTTTGTGAGAATGTAGTTCAATTTTTAAATCGGCCCTAAAATGTGTTAAAATTTTGCGCTGTCAATCACTCTCGTGTAGCCTCGCCCAAATGTTCAGGTTAGCTAGTGTGACCACCGATGACGGCAGATAAACAGTTTCTCTAGATCGGTAAGTTGTTTCTCTACTATTAGCACATTGTTATAATAGTGTTAAATTCACAAACGTAATTGATGGCGCTAAGACCTCCTCTTACCTCTGATTGGTTGTTTCTGACCGGGAGCTGTGTTTTTCTCCATGGAGGAGCTTCATTTTTTTTTTCCCATAGATCAGGAGTGTCAAACTCCAGTCCTCACGGGCCGCTGTCCTGCAGTTTTTAGATGAAATGGCTTAATGACCTCCTCCTTGTTCTCCAGAGCCTTGCTAATCACCTATTATTCTATTCAGGTGTGGTGCAGCAGAGGCACATCTAAAAGTTGCAGGTCACCGGCCCTTGAGGACTGGAGTTTGACACCCCTGCCATAGATCATCTGTCTGATAGCATTCTGTGACAATATGGTGACACGTTCAACAAATATGGAAAAGACAAATATTGGTAAAAGTTATGTATATTGCAGCTTTATGGAGCTGTTAGAATTGTACACACTCGACTAAATAGACTCAGATTTGGTCAATTAAAAATCACTCGTATCTGCAACCAATCCTGTTGGTGATTTTGGTTTAAGGCGTGGTTTGTTCTCCCTGCACACAGAGCAGTTGTAGTTCCTAAGCAGAGGCTGGGAGTGTCTTTGTTTCTGCTCTGATGAGAAGTCATTTCCACCGCCTGTACAGAGGATCAGAGGGAGGCAAACGGCTCAGACGGCTTCAGGTAAAAACACGGTGTCATTATTACCTGCCTGACTGTCCTGCTTTGCTCTGCTCTGTTTTGTTTTGTGCTCGGTGTTTTAGTGTGGAAACACTGTTCCCTTCTTGAAAATCGGCAGCAAAACTAAGCAGCCATTTACAACCTATGTATCTTTTATCTGCTCAGGAGCCGTTCTAACTCGTGTTCTCATGCATTTTGTCATTATTCATTCACAGAGTCCCGATTCTGTCACGCATGTGAGCCAGTCGAATGTAATGTTCATTTTGTCAAGCTGTTGTACAGCGTCAGCGGCATTAAACTTATAAAGCCAGAAACTGGAAACGTCCTTTACCAGGAAGTTGTTCAGTTTTGTGTTTATTTGCCTTTCCAGCCAATCAAATTCATCAACCGGATCTAAAACGTGGCACCATCAGCACATTAGTGGTTCACCACAGATTAGTCAACTAAACCAGACTTCTTCCGTTGCCATCTCAGCATCCAGACATAAATTCTGCACTGATTTTTCTCAGTAAGGAATGGTTTATATATGTTAATGTTACTGGCAAACTCATATCCACCGTGACTTTTTCTGAAGATGGAAATGAAAGAGTGAGAACAAAGCAATCACTTTCCGCCGTTTGTTCGAGCGCAGCAGGCAATTCATCTGTCTGTCTTCAAAGAGCTAATCCTGACGGAACGCAAGTTATTTTCTGCTTCTTTCACGATGCAGGCTTCATTTCTTGATCCAGAGTCCTATCCCAAATGGCAGCGTGTTCTCTCTCTCTCTTTGTCTGGTTTGTAAAATAACTCCCCACTGCTTAAAATTATCTGCTCCAGTTACTGTGGAAAAGAGCCAAAACATGCCCAGAATAATCTGAATAAAATACGGCAAAGATGTAATTTGTAGATGCTAGATTGTCGGCAGCGCTGTTTCACCAGTGTGAACAGCAGCTGTGGTGGTAAGAACCAGCAGTTCTTGGTAAATGATGAAAATAAAGTGAAGTAAAGACCCCTCTACCACCATTTTTCTGTTTTGCTTATTTGTCAGAATTATCAAAACATCCCAAAGACTGTTTCTACTATTTGGATATCACTATAAAGTAATTAATAGGTTTAAACTTATGTGTATTCTCACCTTTGAAATGAATCTCCATCTTTGTATTTTGCATCAAGACCGTCTTGAGGAGGAGGCAGCAGTGCCAGCACTTCCTTCTCTCCGCCACCAGGGAGCAGCAGCGTGGAGGTCTAGCATGACCGCCTCTGAGTGGCTTTTAAAATGCACCCTGGGAACGGCCACGCTGTGGAAGTCAACGCTCACAAACGAAGAGACCAGCTCAGGAGCCGAGATGATACAACACCCGTGGCTCCGTCCGCTCCGGATCTCATTCCTAGAACCGAAAAGGAACAAACGTTCAGCATGAGAGGCGAGACGTACCACAGAAACTCTACGCCGGTCTTGGATTCAAGCAGCCACATCTACTCAGGCCCTGACGACAACTCCACACAGCCACACGAGTCACTGACAGAGTCTTCCACCATCACCTTCGTAGACGACTACACTCTGGAGGAGTCGGTGGAGGACCAGAGTCTACAGGGAGCGGGAACGACGTACCTTAAGGAGTTTGTATTGATAGACGACGATGAAGACGGGGACATGTCGCTGAGGGAGAAGACTGTGACGGACTTCTCCGTCAGGGATGGGAACGCTGCCGACCTGGTGTGCGGGAGGCTCCTGTCCACGTCCACGGGCTCGCTGTCCGAGTCCAAAGACGAGTCTTCGGTCCGTGGCCCCCCACCGCCTGAGGAGGCCGAGGCAGTACACAAAGACGGTCCCTGCTGCTCCTGCATCGTGCTATGACTGGTCAGGAGCTTCTGAAACCCAGTGACACAGCCTTGCAAAAGTATTCATACTTGTTAAATGTTCTGGGACTTTCTTACTTGGGATGCACAGATACGAGAACGACCACATGTTATTCTTTTTGAAGCCTTTTCATGCATGAAAAACTTTTAAGTTCCACTTCCATTTCTACGGCCTGTACGGCCAATCTTCAACCAAGCATTACGGGACCAAATGAATCAGAGTCAGCGTCTGGTTCTGTTACTGAATCAGAACCACTTTTAGGATTTGATCTGCTTATTTATTCTTCTTCCCTCTCAGGAGACGTGTTTTGTGATATGAAGCACATTTGTACTTACTGGTCAAACAGGCTGTGTGAGACACTTCTTAATATTGACTTCCAGAATGTTCTTCGTGTACTTTTTCTTTAAACGGAGACGTTTATTTTGATTTCCCTGCACAGGATTTTAGCTCAGATGATCAATCCTGAAGTAAACAAAACTTCTCTAAAGTTTGTTAGAATTTTTTTATACTAAACCAGATGCATGTTTTTTTTTCAGATCTATTCATGGTGAAGGATTTTATGAGAACTACATAGAAGTTCATAATAAACTGTTGCTAACCTGAAATAAATCAAACTTTTAAGGTCTTTTTTTGTTCATGTGAAGGTAACTGCAACCAAAACGTTTGTTTTCTCTTTTCATCTTACTTTTTTAAGTTGAAAGAAACTTCTAGGAACTTGTAATAAATGATCTGTTTCCCTGGGATAGGACTGTGATTCGACACAGAGGCCCAATTCTTCTAGCAAGTAGCTCCAGACAGGAAGAGGACCTTCTTTTATCATGTCACCATGCATGTGAGCAGGATGGTAAGGAAAATAGTGAAAGAGACAACCCAGTACTCTGGACTGTCCAATCTTGCTAAATATTGAAGAAGTAGAAGGGAGATGGCCTCGGATTGAAATCTTTCTATCGCCCACCCTGCAGCCCAGACTCGTCTCTCCAGGCAGTTTTTCAGCCATTCACAACTTGGGACTAAATCGGCTCACATGACCTCATTGTAGAAGTTCAGCTAAACGGAGGACATTGTGACATTACTGGTCCTATGAGGGTGATAGTCTAGATTTCAGTCTTTAAGCCTTTTACCATCAACCATGTTGAGAACTGAACTTTTGGGTGACGTCCAGTTTCCTTCTCCTTAAGTTGAACTTGTGTTTGAGTTGTTTTTCTTAACGCATCCAGCAAATGTCTGGACAGATGAGGCTAGTGGCAAGATAGCAGTCAGAAAGTTGCGAGTTTGATTCCCCAATTGCCACTTGTCGGTGTGCACTCGGTCGAGGCATCAAAGCCGGTTTGAATCAACACATAGCTACAGAAATGGATGCGTGTGCAGTTGAGTGAACGTGTTGAGCCCTCAGAGTGGTTTGTATGACTGAAAACACTCCTGTGCAAGTTTTCTCTCCGTTATCGTTTCCAAACCTCAACATCAGATTGATACAGATCTAAACTGCTGCACCTTTTCCTGGCTGATGTAACCCAACTGCTCTTTGCTTCGTCTGCCTGAAGCGACACTTCGTGGTGTAACTTCCAGGTCAAAGCAAGTCTCACGTGAAAACCACTGATACTGAATACTGTTAAAGAGTCCTTTAACAGTCTTCAGTTTACATCTTCTGTCTTTATGCTTAGAAGACTAATGTTTGCAGCTTGAAGCGTGCGTTTGGGAGCTGTGCAGATGCCCCCTCCCACCTTCAGAGAGAGATGGGACTATTTTACTGCATTGTGTGACAGCAAAGCCCCAGTTAGGACCCTGCTGGGCGAAGATAGGAGTTTACTAGACTTATCTCCCCTCCCACAGCTACAAAAACCCCACCCCCCCCCACCCCCCCTCGCCCCCCCCCCCACACCCCCCCCCCCCCTCTAACTCTATACATACCCTACAGAGTGGTTCAGAACGGATGCAGCAGCAAAAAACTGACTAGTGGATTATTACTGAAGATGCCCTCGGTATGAACTAATATAGAGTTAATCGCAAAAAGAAAACGCACAAAATCACGAACACGGCCGCCCCGAGTTCGAGTCCCGTCCATTCCCCATTTCTGTCATATTACTGTTAAACATAGGCCACTAGTGCCGACTTTTAAAGATGACTTTTTAAAGGAACTAACATTGATCAAGAAAAAAAAACCCAAACCAAATAGTTCAAAAGTTTCCATATATAAACTGGGTGGGGGAGGGTATCACTGGTTTTAATCAAAATCCAGCAGGTTTGTTGGGCCAAATATAGTCACTATCAGCTGTGGCAGCATGAGTGTGCAGTTCACCGCTATCATCATCAGCAGTGGTGACTGATGAAGCCTCGGCGGCAGCAGCAGCAGCCTGGAGACCACTGGGAAAAGTGGTCGTTTTCCGCGTGACCTCAGCTCACCCACTCTCAGCAGCGGTTATCGAGAGCCCTCAGTGTCACAGCCGTACCAGAGGAGGAAGTGCAAAAATAAAGAAGAAGGAGAAAAAGAGGAGGAGGGGTGGTGATGGGGATGAAGTGAGGACAGGCGACGGGAGACTCTCAGAGGCGATGAATGGAAGAAACAGAAGCATGATGACGGCTGTTTTTCTGCTCCTCATGCTGTCAGGTGAGTAAACTTTCTCTCTCTCAGGTTCGCTGATCACCGTTTGTCTGAAATTGTCACACACATCCCTCCCTGGTGGAGATCATTGAGGTGAATGTGTCCTCCATTGGATGTGTCTGCCGTCTCTCAGCCGTCCCGGCCCGGAGCCAAGCCTTGCTGGACGTGTGCGCGTCCTGCCACCCTAACGCCACGTGCGAGGACAAGTCAGACGGCTCTGGAAAAGTCTGCAACTGCAACTACGGCTTCGTTGGAAATGGGAGAACCCACTGTCAGGGTAAAAAACACACACACAAAAAACAAACAAATATGAAACAATAGACGTCTACTTTTCAAATGTATTTGAAACCAGATTACCTCTACAATTTGAATGTTTCATGTTAGCTCTGTTCAGGAACATGACCTGACTTCAGAAAAGTGACTCCTTGTGCAAACATAAAGCTCTTCCAGTAGAAAACATTTCTTCAGTTTGTTGACAGCTTTGATGCATGATAATATCATCGTAGCGTCTCTTGTTTGAATCCAGAAGCACAAATCATTGCACAATGTTTGAGCCATAAAGCTGCCGTATGAAACGTTCTGTATGTTTTTCACATATTTGTTAGTACTGTCATCATGCTGTTACAATATATGAGACAGATAAATTGTGAAAAAAAAAATCTCCTCCATGAGCTTCGTTGTGCTGAAGGAAGACATCAAAACAGCCAATCAGAACCAGGAGGCGTGTCTTAGCGCTGTCCATCATTCTCATTTACTTGGCGGAAAAACAACTTACTGTTAAAAGTTACATACAACCTTTTATGATTTGGACCAAAGCATAAAACAAAGTTGTCCTTCCGTCCGTCTGTCCATTTTTTTTTTCTGGGATTTTTCATATTTACACAAATAATGCACAACTGAGACGTTGAAGGAAAATAACTCAAAAAATTATTGTATTTAGTTCCATTTATCCTCCAATCTTCTCAAAGCCCACAGGATGATCCTTCCCCCACCATGCTTGATCGCTATGCGTTTAATGGTCCAGTGTTAGTTTTCTCCATGCTTGGCTTTGTTGCTGCTGGGCCAAAAAGTTCAAATTCGATCTCATCTGACTACAGCACCATTTCCCGTGAAAAAAAAAATCCCAGAGGAAACCTTGTCGTTCTTCCAGATAAAGACGAGTGTCAGATAGGAGCCAGTAAGATCTGTGGGCAGCACACCACCTGCCACAACACGTACGGCAGCTACTACTGCACCTGCCTGTCTGGCTACAGCCCATCCAACAACATGGATGTCTTCATCCCAAACGACGGAACCCACTGCCAAGGTGAGGCCACAACGCAGGTCTGAACGAGTCTCTTTCATCGCTTAAAAAAACCTTTGCTTTCGTTCCTGCAGATATTGACGAGTGCAGGACCACAGGGCCATGCGGAGAGGGAGGTCAGTGCAGAAACCTTGAGGGCAGCTTCGACTGCAGCTGCCAGGTTGGATACAGAGTCCACAACGGGGACGAGCCTTTTCGTCCACAGAGAGGCGGAGCTTCCTGCAAAGGTAAACGGGAACTGGACTCACAGGGCCTGGACCATGGTTCATATTCCCTTGAGCTGTTTCATATTTGATCACATTAAAACTGCAAACATCCATAGATTCAATGCGGTAGACCAACACAGAGGAAGCCCTATGTGAAGTTTCTTGCCAAAAATGTTGCTACACCTTGCAAACCAGGAAGTGAACTTGTCCTTGGGCCTGTCCCTCACCCAGTGGTCGACTGTGGTCCGCCTGTCCCGGTGGAAGACTCGGCCCTCCTGTCCGTCACGGTCACCACCTACGGCGGCGTTGCCAGGTTTGTCTGTGAGGAAGGCTTCGTGTGGCGGAGGGGAGACAACAGCTCTGTGTGTGGAGCGGACGGATCGTGGAGCGAGACCGGCCTGGTCTGTGAAGGTAAAACAGCTGCTGCTTTAGTCTGAAACTACACAAATCAATGTCCCCTCCCCATACACACACACACACACACACACACCCACACACACACACACACACACACGAACACACACACACACACACACACACACACACCCACACACACGCACGCACACGCACACACACACACATACACACACCCACCCACACACACACACACACACACATACACACACACACACACACACACATTTAATATTCTACTCAGGTTATCGTGCAGAAATCCGGAGCAACGATTACAAAACAGGGACCAACAATACCACAAAAAGAACAATAGTAACAATAAGAATAATCCGTAAGACCAGATATTTAGAGAAAAACGAAACACGATTTGTGAAGTCATTAAAGTTCACTGATACAGTGAAACTACAGACAGGCTGCAGTCGTCTGCAAAGACAAAAATAACAAGAAAACATTCAACAACTGTGTGAGACTAAAGACAAAATGTCAAAGTTAAGGGGGAGAATCACAGTTTAAAATACGCAAATTCAGAACGACTAGAACAAAAAACTAAAAAGATGTTTGTGTACACTGTAAAAAAAGAACATCTCTAATTTATGGTGAAATTCTCAACCACAGCTGCTGGTATTTTACCATAAATTAGAGACTTTTTGGTTGTTGTTTTTTTTACAGTGCATCAGTAATTGTTGTTGGTGAAATTTAAAGAAATAATGATTGTCCATTGTACTTGAAATGAAATATATACTATATTGATGGGTTGACTGTTAGATACTGGTAATAAATAAAATAATTTTGCAGATGAGGAAGGAGTGGGAATTTTGATAACTTTATGCTGCCACTCATTTCCTTCAATATGTAAAACAAAAGTTTTGACATTACGCTTTATGCCGCATTTTTTATAGATATATGTTTAAAAAAAGAAACAAATAATTGTTTTCATCAAGCAGCATAATTCCTGTTGAATATGATGGTCGCATTTAGTTGATATGGTAGCACTTTTTCAGTAGCGAGAAAATTGCTAATGTTTCTCTCAATCTGTGTCGTTTCATTCTGTGTTGCCCATTAAAGGTTGATGCAGCTTTATGAGGCTGGTACTAAATAGGTGAATATGTGCAATAATACTGTCAATATGGCTTGATATCACAGCCCTCGGAGACTAACAGTTGCTCCTCAGGCTCATCGGTGACTCATATTCATCACATTGCATCAGGCAAGCCAACTGGAACACTGTGTAAAAATGCTCTCTCCTTCTTGCTTGTCAGTTTGCACGTTTTTTTTTGAAACACACAAATTCAAGAGTGTTGTTTTGCAACGTCACCCAAAAGCCGGAGACCTCCCAAACGACATGCAATAAAAATCACAAAAACACTCACACGACGGAAATGAAAGATTGCACAAAACCACTCCTCTGTCCGAGGAAACGGCCGCCGGATCAGGGAGCGCTTTGGCAAGAGTGTGCTCAGGTTGCTCTTCTTACGTTGCAACATTTAACGCCGTATGAAATCTTGACAGTTGAAGAGTCATTTAAAATCGTCTCTTTTCAAAGTCAACGCAACGAGAAGCACGTTGTGTTTTTTTTCTGTGGGTCGCTCAGGTCTGTCAGTCACTTCAGATGCTGCGTCCAGAGAACATTTCATGCTGCTGAATGCGGCACAGATGTTAGAACAAATGACAACCACAACAGAAAATGCCAGGTAAATAATAATAATAACAATAATGACAACTTGATGTAAAATGTAAGTCTATGGAAATATATCTGTGTTTGTATCTGTATTAAAGGATCATAACAGATAGGAGATTTAAACAACAACAAAAAAAATACACAAAAAAAGCAGGATAACCAATAAAGGTGATGCAGAATTGTCTTTACGATTGAAAAGAAAAACATTTGAAAATAAGACAAAGATAGCCTCAAGTTTAACAGAATCATCATTGTGAATAAAACTACATGAAGCTGCACTGACGTTGTCACCACGTTGTAATTCTTGGACAAAAACTGTCAGCCAAGTCATCAGGAACAACCTCAGAAAATGTTCCTTGTCCTTCTTCTATTTCAACGTGTTTTATGTTTGTTTGGGCCGATGAAAACCATCCACATCAGATCGACTCCACTCTGTATGTTTGCACATGTAGAACATGCGTCGCAGCAGTTTGAAAGGTTCATTGATCCTGCTTGTGGATGGAGTGCAGACTCTCTCTCTCTCTCTCTGTTTGTCTCGGCTCCCCTCACTGTCCTGGCCAGGGCTCTTTGTTCTGCTCTGTGTTTATTACTGCCGTGTTAACGCCTCTGGTGAATGTTTTCCCCGTAGAGATCTTGTGTGGGAATCCTCCTTTGATTGAATTCGCAGAGCAGGTGTGGAGCAGCACTTCGTCCCCCGGCAGCTCAGTGCTGTACCTCTGTACTGAGGGCTTCCATAGTAACGGAGGACAAAATGTGTCAATCTGTGGTAAAAACGGACAGTGGACATCTCCGACGTTGTCATGCCAAGGTAACACACAAGACGAGTGAATCGGTTCCCTTTCTAATCTTTTTAACGTTTTGCCTGGAAAATAAAGTTTAGCCAAGGATTTTTTTAGTGACATCGAACATTTGGCTAAAATGAACTTTTGATTATGCTCGGGTTATTCCTGGAATTTTTTTCTTTTTTGGGGGCGGGGCAAACAGTCCGAACATCTAGTTGGTTATTTTTCATTTTGCATTTCAGTTCCATCAAGAATAACTAGTAAAAAAAAAAAGATAAGTTGCTACTGGAGGATTTGTTCAAATCCTGTCAATGACAAAACAGAGCATAGTGTGAACTGACCAATTTATTAATTTAAGAAAACCAGTCATTCTCATTAGCGCGCATGAGAACTATATGTAGACATAACTTTCAGCTCTAAACTGACTTAGAGCTAAATATTTAGTTTGGAGCTAAAAAGTTTGGTTGCTCATTAAATATTTTGCTTCAAACTAAATATTTAGCTGCTAAATATAGCCTCAAGCTAGATATGTAGCTCAACTTAGCTTGGGGCTAAGTATTAAGCTAAACACTTAGCTTAAAGCTAGCTATTTAGCTTCGAACTAAATATTTCGCTTCAAGCTAAACATTTTACTTGCTAACTGAATATTCAGTTTGTAGGTAAACCTTTAGCTTCTAAAATAAACATTTAGCTCTTTAGATATTTATAAATGAAAGAAGAACATTGTGATAATATGGCCTTGAAAGACGATGCTCCCGTTTTTTTTCTACTAAATCTAAACTAAACCAAACTAAATCACCTGATTTGCTGCTGCTAATTTTTGACTAATTTCACAGAGACCTGGCTCAGTGTCACACACACTTCCAACTGTACAAGAGTTTTTTCCTTGAAGCGTCGTAACAACAAATCAGCCTTATTTTTCCCAATATGTCTTCTTAAAATAAAATGCGTTTTTTTTTTGTTTGTTTGTTTGTTTTGTTGGTTTTTTTGGTTCGTTTTGCTCTTATGTTTGTGTTGCCGTCGTGTTATAAACGTGCATCATTTCCTGTCTCAGAGACTCTGTGTGGAGATCCACCTGTGGTGCCCCACACTGTGCAGGTGTGGGACGGCAGCTTCACCTCTGGAAGCACAGCAGCTTATTACTGTAACCCGGGATTTCACCACCACGAGGGTAGCAATGTGTCAGTGTGTGCAGATAACGGTTACTGGACAGAGCCTGGCATTCTCTGCAAAGGTGATGTTCTCAAAAAGGCTCATCTGCTGCTCCACATATGGATTTGCTCTCCTCTCTCTGTCTCTCTCTGCTAAGTAATTCATGTCCGTCTCCGTAGAGGTTGACTGCGGCGAGCCCACATCCATCCCTCACGCTGTGGTGGAGTGGGATAACGTTTCCACTGTGGGCTCTAAGGTTGTTTATAGGTGTGACCGTGGATTTGTCAATGTTGGCAAAGGAAATGTATCGGTTTGTACAGCCAGCGGAGGATGGGACACGCCCTCGCTGTCCTGCCAAGGTGATACCTCTATGTTCATTTATTTGTGGGTGCAGTAAGTTGTTGGTGCACGATTTGAAAACCTTGTTTTTCAGATCTGGGGCTTGTGCAAAACAGCACTACTATTGAAAGTGGCTTGCAAAAAAAAAAGATGTTTGTATTTTGCTGAGATTTTATGCGACAGACCAAGATGGAGTACGGCATTATTTATATAACTGGAGGAAAATGACCACAAATGAAATAAGTGAGCGTAATTAATAGGGGGAAAGTATAGGAAACTGGGATTATATTGTGTGTTTATAAAACTGAAATATACTAAAAGCATAGATGTTCATTTTGTTTTTTGTGACAGCAAAAGTTGGGAGAGCAGCCAGTCAGTCGGTTGTTCAACATTCATTTTTTGAAAGTACCGTCTCCTGTCGAGTGTTCATTTTAATATGCACATAATCACAATACAGTACTTTGATCTGTTTAAATTCTCCACCTAAACATGAACCAAAGTATGAAATAAACTTAAACTACAACTGTGACTAATAGAAGCTAAACTAAAACTAATACAATATTTATCTAGTCAGAAACTTGCAAACACTCTACAAAAGCTAATTAAAACCAACTGAATGAGACAAACAAAATGTCACAATGAAATAAAATTAAACCATAATGATAAAAAAAACAACTATTGTTTTGGTCTGTCACAGAAAATCACAGCTGTGAATAATTTTGTAAACACCAGACGTCCAGTTTGCAGTGCTCTGTTCACCATCTGCTTTCCTGTCGTAGAAATCAGCTGCAGGAATCCTCCTGTAATAGAGCACGCTGACATGCAGTGGCATGGGACGCCACACGCTGGCGCTGTGGTGTATTACCAGTGTGAGGACGGATTCTCCACCCGAGGCCTGAGGAACTACTCAGAGTGTGGAGAGGATGGATTGTGGGAGGATGTTGATCTGTCGTGTGAAGGTGCAACATTTTCTGAGCCGAGAAAGCTGCTGGTTCAGTTCTCCAGCAGTTTGTGTCCTAAAAGACAAAAGCAGGTTCACGTTGTGTAAAGAGTTGTGTAAGGATGTTGATTTTGTAGGACTTAGTGTAATTTATATATAAAGAAAAACAATTCAAGAAACTTCAATATTTTCATCTTAGTTTTACTGTCATTTATTTCGACGCACCTGTACATGAAACTGAATTCCCTGTAACCTAATGCAGCAACAAATGACCTCTTCCTTCATGTTTGTTTAGTTGGACTCTGCAGCTGATTGCATGCCAGTAGTTGTGGCCCTGTTGCATCAGGTCCATGCTCAACTCTTATTTGTGCACAGAAGTAGACTGCGGCCCCCCGAAATGTCTCCCCAACACTAACCTGCTGTGGGACGGCAGCAGCACGCCGGGCAGCGTGGCGCGGTGTGAGTGTGTGGACGGATTTTACCAAGAGAGTGGAAGCGATTTGTCAACATGTTCTCTGTCAGGACTGTGGGGGGAAGTATCTGTGAAATGCAAAGGTAGGGGGGGGAACATCGTTCACGCCTGGCTGTTGCCCCTTTTTGATCTCTTTGCACGTTTCTCAAGCATGCTGTCACTGTCACGCGTCTGACCCCTGACCCCCGCACGCTCTGGGTGTTAGACAAGGGGAGTTTAGAAACTGCATGCGATTCTCTATCCGCCCACGATGGCTTGCAGCGATCACCAGCAACCAGCACAGCGGGACGCCTGGGCGTCTGTCAGCGACATCATTTCCTTTGAGCGCCTGCTGAAAATGAAAGCTTCCTTCCCAACATGCTGTTGAATGAGTCCGTTTCTGAGCCAGTCGCTGCGTTTTCTGTTGTTTCTCCAGCTAAATGCGGCCCTGTTCCCTTCCTGGCCCACTCGGAGGTGGTGTGGCACAACAGGAGTGTTGTGATCCACCGCTGTGCGGCAGGATACCACAGCTGGAGGGGCGTCAACGCGTCCGTGTGTGGCGACTCCGGACTGTGGGTCAGAGCTACCCTCAACTGTATCGGTGAGTTTAAAAGAAGCAGCGCTGGCCTGTTTAATATCATTGCACTCAACACATATATGCCATAGCACAAAATTAATGACAAAACGTTAAAAGTTGAACACTGAGACAAGAGTGGACGTAGACTTCTCATGGCAACTACTAATATGTGATGCAGAGATCAAGCCGCCTATTCATCAGCTGACGCTTTACAATGGAAACTGTCTGAAGTGGAAGGCAGAGAAGTACGAGGAGGACACAGAACTTTACAAGGCAAGATAAGTTTCCTCTTTTTCTTCACCGCATCAACGGTGAGCTCTGACTGAACGCGTGGACGCCATTATTTCAGGTGGTTTATTTGGGATCCAGAGATTACCAGAGGTCGTTTCTAGACAAAGGGCGACGTGTGCTGACCTCCAGAGACGACCGGCTGACGATCTGCCTGCGGCTGCTTCCACTGACAAACTACAGCATTTCTATCACTGCAGCAGCCGCCAGATTCACGGCCAGCGTCTCGGCCAACACCAGTCTAACAGGTGGACTGTTTAAATGTTTAATGCTGATGGTAGAATATTCACTGTAGTCTTCTTCACACTGACCTGTGAACGTAACAATAAATGCACCTCTGTTTGTGACAGTACCTCCAGCACCAGTTGTGCACTACACAGAACTGGAGACTCCAGTTCCAACGCTGAGGCTGAGAAGATCTCCCAACACTCTGGATCCCATCAGGTAACTTAACGCCCTCCGTGCAAAACTGACACTTTTCCCCCATTCGTTTGTGTTTTATTCATTTTAGTCAATGAAAATGTTTTCTCAATTTCAGTTTTCTGAATTTCATTTGTTTTAATTAACTGTAATAACCGTGGAGGTGCCATGCTGAAGTGATTACCATATTTTCACTGTAATAAGCCGCATCTACAAAGTTTTCTTTTGTTTTTCGGTTTTTTATAAATCTGCTGGATTTATTAAGGCTGAACCATGGTTTCATTTCAGTTTAAAAGCTGAATCATATGAACTGATGTTTTCCTTTTTTTTGTTTGTTTGTTTTTGTAATTTTGTTGGCTCTAGTTTCCTGGATTACTTTTTTTAAAGTAAGCTGACAGGAAAGAGGCAAATGTCGCTGAGGTCGGGAGTCGAACCCGCGAAAGCCGCGTCGAGGACTATGGCCACCAGAGCCCTTTCTTCTTGGATTTCCAATTTTGACTTCCACTGAATCACTTCCTGCTAACGATAAAACTTTCCACTTTGTGTTTTTCGTTTTTTGGCAGCTTCTACCAAATCTTCGTGCTTCCTGTCGAGGGGCTTGTGGTATTCGACTGCTCCTCCCCTGCCAGCCTCGACCCTTCCAGCGGATCGGGGTCACCGGTTGAGTACGTGACCGCCCAGCTTGGTGTGCAGAGCCTTGGGGCAGAGGTCAACTTCACGGTGGGGGACGGCGTCCTCTACGGGGGCTTCTGCAACGCGCCGCTGCAGAGCGGCAACACCTACTTCATCATCCTTCGGGTTGTCAGTCGGTGGAAAACGGTGAGTCAAGAGCCGCTCTGCTGCAAAGGAGCAGCCGTAAAGCGATGCTGTGGAAGGTGCAGCAGATTTAACCCCAAGATGTGTTTCCTCTCCAAGATGTCGACAAGTTGCTGCGTCCTTTGGGCTAAAGTAGCAGGTGCCTCCGAATGCACGCAAATCACAGAGATAAGTCGATATCACTCTCTGAAAAGCAATTTTTGTTTTCTTTTCTTCCCAGGAACATCTTACGTCCTGAGGGTGTCGGCGCTGTGCGCTGCTGCCTCTGTAGCAGCGCTTGCCATGGTTTCATTAGGAGCATATGGCTTGTCCTGGTATGAGCTTTTATCAAACTCTGTTTTTCACTGAATTAACTTGGAATAAAATGAGTAGAATTAAAAATAAATTTAAAAAAACAGGCACAAATACACTTAAAGGGTCAGTGTGATGGACCGAGTTAAACAGGAGGAGTCACAGGATGTATTTAGAAAAATAGGGTTTTTATTTTAACCCAAAATCATAAATGACAAAAAATAAACTGAGCTCATAAAAGAGGTCAAAGGAACAAAACTGAACTCAGGCAAAAGTGTAAACAAACTAACTGCACAACAAACATAACTGACCTAACAAAGAAATGACACACAGGGGTTTATATACTGGCTGATCAGACCATGACACAATAGGAGTAACTAAACAAATACAAATAACACAAAACAAATAGTACAGCTAAGTTTGGCTAAACTAAAGATCCAAAAATGAAAATCAAAAACAAACTTTAAATACTAATATTTACTTAAATACAAAACTTAAACTACCATATCCCCCTGCCAGCAGGAACTATTGGTGTAATCCAATTAGCACTTCTTGTTGACATCAGGGTGTGGCCATGGATTTGGCCATCACACACCCCCCCACTTCCTGGTCTTCAGTCTGGCACCGAGAAAGGTTATCAGCAGTGATGTTGTCTTTGCCGGCAATGTAGTGAACCTTAAAGTGAAATGGCTGCAAAGCAAGATACCATCTGGTGATTCTGCCATTAGTGTCTTTCATTTTTTCTAGCCACTGGAGGGCTCTGTGATCAGTTTGAAGGGTGAATCCTCTTCCCAGCAAATAATATTGAATGAGTCAAGGGCCCATTTAATAGCCAAGGCTTCCTTCTCCACAGTTGCATATCGCCTCTCCGTTGGCAGCAGCTTGCGGCTAATGTAGGCAACTGGATGTTGGTCCTCTGGTGGTCCCTGCAGAAGCACTGCCCCAAGACCCCTTTTAGAAGCATCAGTCTGCAACAAAAAGTCTTTTGTAAAATCTGGTGAGTGCAAAACTGGATTCTTACTCAGGGATTGGCTAATGTCCTTAAAAGCTGCAATGGCATCTGCTGTCCACTGAATTTTGGTGGGACTTCTGGAACCCGTCATGTCTGTCAGGGATGCTGCTCTACTTGAGAAATTGGGGATGAATCTGTGGTAAAATGCAGCCATTCCAAGAAAAGACCGTAGCTGTTTTCTGGTTTGTGGGAGCGGACAGGATGCTATTGCATTAATTTTGTCCACTTGAGGTTTAAGAGTGCCACCTCCAATGGTGTACCCAAGTTACTGTATTTCTGTCCTAGCAAGAGCACACTTTGCTGGATTGATGGTAAGGCCTGCGGAACGCAGCCGATCCAGGACCTCCTTCAGATGGTCAACGTGCTCTTCCCAAGTTCCACTGAAAACCACAACATCATCAAGATATGCACAGGTGAATGTTGAGAGCCCACAGAGTACCTGATTCATTAGTCTTTGAAATGTTGCTGGGGCCCCGTGCAGACCGAATGGAAGGACCGTGAACTCGAACAATCCCCAAGGGGTGCGAAATGCAGTCAGCTCCTGGAACTGTTTAGAAAGAGGCACCTGCCAGTAGCCTTTAGATAGATCAATAGTTGTTAAATATCTTGCTTCCCCCAGGTGCTCAATGAGGTCATCAATACGTGGCATTGGGTAACAGTCAAATTTTGATATGGAGTTAAGGTACCTGAAGTCAATGCAAAATCTTATCTTGCCATCCTTTTTTGGAACCAAAACAACTGGGTTGCACCACTCACTTGCTGAAGGTTGAATGATTCCTAGAGACAGCATGAGGTCCAGCTCCTCCTTCAGCTCCACCCGGAAGCGTTCTGGTATTCTGTAACTCAGGCGTTTTATAACAGCTTCCGGTTTTAGAACAATGCTGTGCTCCACCAGAGCGGTGCGACCTGGGCACTCTTGAAATATGTCAGAAGTAATAAGAGGCATTACCTGAGACTGTTGCTCACGGGTGAGATGGCTTAGGTCCAGCCCAGAGGATGTTACTGAAGGCAAATAGTCATTAACCTCTTCCTCCTCGTCCACTCTGCGAATGAGCAATACCTCCGTTTCATTCTCCTTCCGTGGAACCCACTCCTTGAGAAGATTAACATGGAGCACTCGACTCCCTCGCTGGAAACCTGGTGTGGAGACTTGGTAAGTAGTAGGTCCAATTTTCCGCAGTACTTCAAAAGGTCCCTGCCACTTTGCAAGCAGCTTGCTGTCAGAAGTTGGCAACATTACCAAAACCTTCTGACCAGAAACAAAGCTTCTGTAACGAGCTTTTTTATCAAACCAAACCTTTTGGTGTCTCTGAGCAGCTGCCATGTGACTCTGAGCCAACTCACTCATCTGCTGCAGTTTATCCCTCATATGGAGAACAAATGAGATAATGTTAACAGGGTCTTCTTTACTTTGATCTCCCACCCATGCATCTCTCAGCAGGGTCAAAGGGCCTCTCACATCATGGCCATAAAGGAGCTCAAAGGGAGAGAAACCTGTGGAAGCCTGAGGAACCTCCCTGTAGGCAAAAAGGAGGTATGGCAGCCACTGATCCCAATCCGATCCTGTATCATTAACAAACTTACGAAGCATTTGTTTGAGGGTTTGGTTAAACCGCTCCGTCAGACCATCCGTCTGTGGGTGATATGGTGTCGTCCTCATGCTCCTGATGCCCAACAGCTTATAGACCTGTTTCAACAGTGTGGACATAAAGTTAGTGCCTTGATCAGTTAAAATTTCCTGTGGGAATCCAACCCTGGAGAAAAGTTGAATCAGTGAGGAAGCCACATGCCTTGCTTTAACAGTTTTTAATGGAAAAACTTCAGGATATCTGGTTGCATAGTCTGTAATAACCAGCATAAAGCGATTTCCAGATTTACTTTTTTCCACAGGTCCAACTATATCCATCCCAAGACGTAGAAAAGGTGTGCCAATAATGGGAAGAGGTTGAAGTGGTGCTTTGGTCGGGACTCTAATTGAGGTTTTCTGACACTCAGGGCAGCTTCTGCAAAATAAAGCAACATCTGATCTTAAACCAGGCCAGAAAAAGTACCGCTTAATGAGAGCAGTGGTCTTATACTTCCCCAGGTGGCCAGCCCAAGGAATAGAGTGTCCCAAAGTCAGCACTGTCTCACGAGCCTTCTTAGGGACAACTAACTTTAACTGGCCATGTTTATGGTATAAAATGCCATCTTGCAGAAAATACTGCTCTTTATTTATGTCAGACCCTACAGAGGCCTCCCCCTTAGCCTTCAGCAGCAAGGCAGACAAAGTTGGATCATTCTGCTGCATTTGTCTGATGTTTGTGGGTATCGAAAAACCCAGTGGCATATCTGGAGCCACTTCAGCTGAACTCTCACACAGTGCATGTTAAAATTTCTCACGCCTTTTTTGGCTCCGTGGCTTCCGAGACTTCCCAGGTTCTGTCTGCAACTTGGCCTCAAAAAAGGGTAATGCCCTGAGTGTTGCAACATGCTCATCTTGACTTTTAGCTTGTGCCCTGGTTACAGCCACATTACAGCTCTGTACATCCCTCAATAAATCATAAATGACAGGGAGATTCTCCCCAAGAACTACAGGATAGGGCAGGTTATCAGCTACCCCAACCTTCAAGAGGTAGGGAGTCCCCTGCACCTCAACAAACATATCAGCAGTGGGGTACACTTTCTCGTCACCATGTACACAGCAAACTGATATTGTTTCTAAGGGGCATATGCAATTAGTTGGTACATGATTCTTGTGTACTAGAGTCTGTGTGCTGCCAGTATCTATTAAAGCATTCATTTTATGTCCAGCAATCTTCACTTGAATGATTTTATTTGACTGCTTTACTTCAAGTTTAATATCCATCCTCTCTTGAGGCACAAAACACAGTTGAGTTAGCTTACTTTGATTCTTGGGGCACATGGGCTTGGTGTGACCTTCTTGTCCACAGAGGTAACACACTGGTGGTCCTTTCCATATCTTGGAAGGCTGATTTTCTCTTAAAAAAGGCTTACCCACACCCGTTGCTAGCTTTTGATGAGGCTGAGAGGGTTGTGACCGATGTGAGTCTTTGGCAGCTCTCCATGCACTGTTGCTCCATGGCTGACTCCTACTTCTGGCAGCTACAAACACATCAGCCAGAGTAGCAGCTTCTGCAGCAGACTTTGGATTGTGCTCCTTGATCCAAACCTGAAGCTCAGGACACAGCATTCTCAAAAATTGTTCCAGAATAATCAGTTCACCAACTTGTTTCACAGTTTTATCTTTAGGCTGAATCCACTTCTCATAAAGTTCTTTCAGCCTTGAATACAGTTCTTTCGGACTCTCATCTAGAATTTCAAGGCAGCGAAATCTTTGTCTATACGTTTCTGGATTTACATCATATTTTTGTAAGATGGCAACTTTTACCTTCTCATATTCAAGGGAATCATCCACATCCATGTTAACATAGGCACTGCGAGCCTTACCCGTCAGAAGAGGAATGAGGTGAAAAATCCAGTCTGATTTTGGCAAACGATAAGCAGCTGCAATTCTCTCAAAAGTGGTAAGAAAGTGTTTAATATCATCCTCAGCAGTTAATTTTTCCAATTTAGGATGATGAAAATGCACAGACTGACCTATTGAGCTGGAAGCTTAATCTAAATCCTCAGCTTGAGATGTTGCTTGAGTTTGATGATCAGCTTGATTTCCAACAAGCTGTGGGTCATTTGATATAGGCTCCGTGGACAGGGTAGTCCTGGCATGCATTTCCATCTGTAAAAGCCGAAACTGGTGCTGCAGACACTTGAAGCGCTGTTCTTGTTGTGCAGAAACCTCTCTCTGCTTTTTATCCCAAACTTCTTGTTGTCCCATGAACGCCTGAAGACTTCCAGCAATATCATGCAGCGTTGGCTCTCTGGTCTCACCAAGCTCAGTGTCTCCAGCTGCTGCTGAAGCTCCTCCTTCCATTTCCTCCCTGTCTGACTGCTGGGAAGCCTCTTTGGTCTCAACCTTGTTTGCTTTCCTTTGGCGCACACCATTCTGCATGGCTCAAAAATGTATTGGAGGAGTAGTAAAACAAAATATTCCCAAAAAGCAAAAAAAAAAAAATAAATCCTGGCTCCTCAACTCAAAATCCCACTTCTGACACCACATGTGATGGACCGAGTTAAACAGGAGGAGTCACAGGATGTATTTAGAAAAATAGGGTTTTTATTTTAACCCAAAATCATAAATGACAAAAAATAAACTGAGCTCATAAAAGAGGTCAAAGGAACAAAACTGAACTCAGGCAAAAGTGTAAACAAACTAACTGCACAACAAACATAACTGACCTAACAAAGAAATGACACACAGGGGTTTATATACTGGCTGATCAGACCATGACACAATAGGAGTAACTAAACAAATACAAATAACACAAAACAAATAGTACAGCTAAGTTTGGCTAAACTAAAGATCCAAAAATGAAAATCAAAAACAAACTTTAAATACTAATATTTACTTAAATACAAAACTTAAACTACCATATCCCCCTGCCAGCAGGAACTATTGGTGTAATCCAATTAGCACTTCTTGTTGACATCAGGGTGTGGCCATGGATTTGGCCATCACAGTCAGTATTATGTAATATTGACTGTTTTTTGGGGGGATTTTTTAGCTTTATATTATGGTATGTTAATAATTCATGAAAAACACACCTGGAGGTTTGCTTTGATTCATTCGAGGCAACCAGAAGAAGAACAATAATTCAATAAACAATTGAATTATTATTAAACAATAATAATGGAGGCTGACCCTCTTCACTGGTGTCGCAGTATGGATGTAAAAAGTGGAGTCATTTTCTGACTCTAAACGGGAGAAGTTCTTATATCGATTGTAAACGAATGAATTTATTCTCTCTTGTCTTCCAGGTGTGTGAACAGGATGTAGGCATTCTCGGCTCCGCTCTCTACTGCCACAGTGAACAAATGCAATGATTGCAAACTGTATATTCTGCAAATGCTTCACATATCACCATTTACGTCACCCCACATGAATAAACGTATGTTTTCCACCATCTGCTGGATTAAGGCTTGTTATCGACGAAGGAGTGTGATCATTTTCTGTCTGCTGTGTTGCTGCTGGACTCGCTCTTCGTTCTGCCTTTCCATATGTGAAAACTGCTGTTGACAGAAACTTCCCAGTAAAAACACACTGGGATGTTTGTGGGTGTGCCACGAAACAGTGACAAAGTGATTAAAAAACTTAAAGACCTGTTCTTTTTTTTTTTTTTACAGTGTGCTGTGCGCTGCATTGCAGAAAACTGTAGCAACCAAAAACATACAAAGTGTGGATGTTTTATGGAAGTCAATTTTTCCCTAAAAAAAAAAAAAAAAAAAATTAATAGTGTGACTTTTTTTTTTATGGGTATGGGTTTAATCCCCAAAAGGGCTGACTTGGCATTAAAAAGATGATCCACAGGTACTGGGCCTTTAATTGTTTTGCATCCGGAGCAGCTCCCCTCTTGCCCCCCCCAGGCAGCCACAGGCCGGGATCCTGCCGACAACAGCCCCGCTGCATCTGGCGCTAAGTTATCGAGTAAGTAGCGGGGGACGCGGCGCTCAGTCGCCGCCAGAACCTGAATTAAAGACGGGACGAATGCGTCGTCCGCGAAGATTGCGCAGGTTACCTGAGCTGTTAGCTGGGAAGCTACTGAGTAGGCCGTCGCCGCGACGCTTTGTGAGAACCGCAGACACGCAGGGACACTTTGAACGCAGTTACTTGGGAAAATGGGCCGTTTTTGGACCGCTGTGACCGGAAACGTGCTCGGTGCTCGTTTTCCTAAATAGGAGACGTGCACGAGCGGCCCGTTAGCCAGGCTGACGAGCTAATTTTCCACGGACATGGACATTTGCTCACAAATGGACAATTTTACAGAAAGAACGTGTTCCTCTGAGAGCCACGAGCCATTAACAATAAAGTAACTGCGGTTCTAATTAACTCGTGTTTATCGTTCGGTGCAATAAAGCCTTTGGCTGTTGGCTCTGTTCACCGATATTTAATAGTATGTTTATGTCTGTGGCGAGTTCTCATAGTGATGGGAATTGCGGTTGTTCCTTGAGATTCTGACCGTTTGGCTCACTCTTCCAAAAGAACCGGCTCTTTCTCTTGGTTCCCCAGCAGCTCTTCATCATTATGATTGCGGACTAGATAAATCGATAGTTTATCAACAGCGAAAGGCAATTATTTCCAAGCAGTGCTAAACAAGCAACACAATTTAGAAAGCGAGTGAAATCAAGATGTCCAACTGGCTCCACAGTGAAAATTAGAGAATCAGTCTTTTAAAGAGATCCACCCAAAGACTAGGTTTGCAGACTGTGCTGTGACTAGAAAACATGATGCACATAACAGTGATTGCTCCGTTTTGGAAATGTAACAGTGTTCAATGCGCTTTTCTTGATTAAATAAAACTGAATTGAATTAACAGCAGTCCTTTGCAGAAAAATCATCCAATATGCAATGGAGGTCTAAGGTTACCTAACCCTAACACTGTCGAATTGCAAGGTTTTTGTTTGTTTGGATTCAAAAATACGGCTCGACAGAAAACCTTTTTCCAAAAGACGCTCTTGACAACCTAACTGAAAAAACAAGGAGCTAAATGTGAAATGTATCTTAAAGGTTAAGCGACATTTAACTTCAGTTTAATAATATGTAAATGCACATCTAGCCACATTTGTTAGATAACAAATACATGTTTTGCTAAATCAATTTTTAATGTAGTTTAATGTCTTCTAGAAGAACCCAATTTCTCATTTATGGTTCATTGTTTTTGCAGAGTGTAACTGTGTTGGAGGCTGACCCTCTTAACTGGAGTCGCTGTTTGGATGTGAAAATGTCGAGTCATTTCTGACCCTAAACGGGAGAAGTTCTTGTATCGATTGCAAACAAATGAAAAACACTGAGCTGAAATCAACATTTTATGGGTTTTGTGCAGTTGGATATTAAGATGGAAAACAGTCCTCTCAGACTGCAGTGTGGACATTAATGTTCTCCTAAGACAGTGCTTCTCAAATCTAGTCCGTGCTCTGCATGCTTTAGATGAGCCTCTGTTCCAGAACAGCTGATTCAAATGATTGCATGACCATCAAGGACTGCAGAAGCCTGTTCAATATTCAATCCAGGTGTGTGACAGAAGGGAAACGACAGGAACAGAATTGAGAAACACTGTCTAGGATATGATAAGAATAAGAATAATGACCGTTGACAACAGTAGTGTCATTGATTGTCTGTTTGAATTTGTCCTGACCAGGTGTGCTGCTGCGGCTGCCCAGTGGTCCACTATGGCCCAGAACCAGGTGATCCTGCAGTTCCGATTCGCCACGTTCGGGGACTCCATGCTGCAGAAGATGAACCTTCTCCGACACCAGAGGCGCTTCTGCGACGTCGTCGTCCGCATCAACCAGCTGGAGGTCCCCGGCCACAAAGTGGTGTTTGCTGCCGGCTCGTCTTTCCTGAGGGACCAGTTCATCCTGCAGCAGGACTCCAGGGAGGTCCAGATCTCCATGATCCAGGAGGCGGAGGTTGGCCGGCAGCTGCTGCTCTCCTGCTACACCGGCCAGCTGGAGTTTCCTGAGCTGGAGCTCGTGCATTACCTGACGGTGGCCAGCTTCCTCCAAATGGGCCACATCGTGGAGCAGTGCACCCAAGCCCTCAACAAGTTCATCAAACCTCAGGCCTCGCGCCAGCTGGAGGTGGATTTGGACCTGCGGAGGGACAAGGGTGGCGAGGGTCCTTCCTCCCAGGCCCACAGGGAGCAGGAGCGGTCTCAGGTGCGGACTGTACCTGAGGGAGAGGAGGAGGACGAAGAGGAAGACGAGGACGAGACGGTGGTGATGGGCCAGGTTGAGAGAGACAATAACGTCGAGAGCGACGAGGACGACGATGTCATACTCCAGCCGTCTGTGAGCCCCGTCCAGGTGTGGCGGAGGCGGCCGCGGCCCGGTTTGGTGGATAACGACATCACCATCGTGAAAGTGGAGTCTGTGACCGACGTGGCGGAGAACACCATCACCGGCCACTTCTCCGCCAGCCCCCCCGCTGCGCTGCACTCCCCGGAGCCGCAGCACTCGCTCATCAACTCCACCGTGGACAGCCGTGGCAGCGAGATGGCGGCGCCGCCGGGCATGGCCGGTTACCCGCTCAGCCCGCCTCCCTCGTCCCCCCTCGCCGAGAAGCACGTCGGACACCAGCGGAGCTACGACAAGCCTCTGCAGTGGTACCACCAGTGCCCCAAGTGCGCCCGGGTCTTCCGGCAGCTGGAGAATTACGCCAACCACCTCAAGATGCACAAGCTGTTCATGTGCCTGCTGTGCGGGAAGACTTTCACGCAGAAGGGCAACCTGCACCGGCACATGCGCGTCCACGCCGGCATCAAGCCCTTCCAGTGCAAGATCTGCGGCAAGACGTTTACCCAGAAGTGCTCGCTGCTGGATCACCTGAACCTGCACAGCGGGGACAAGCCGCACCGCTGCAACTACTGCGAAATGGTGTTCGCTCACAAGCCAGTGCTGCGCAAGCACCTCAAACAGATCCATGGCAAGAACAGCTTCGACAACGCAAATGAGGGCAGCCTGCACGAGGGCGGCCTGGAGTTTGATTTTGGACGAATGTAAAGTTTTTTTGTTTTTCAAGTAAGGTGATTGGTTTTTCAAAGAGCCTCACTGTGGTCAGCCTGTGCAGTTGACACCAGAAGTTTACATACACCGCAAGGTTTCCCCCAGAGAGCTTGATACGCCTGGTGGTTGGGAGCCATGCCAGTCGTTCATCCAGTGGTTCGTCGTGTTTTTCAGTTAAAACACCAACAATAACGTCTTTTTAAAAAATGCAAAAAATATAAACATACTTAAGTAAATAAGCAATGCTTAGCCTGGTGGGGGCACAGGAAAAGCCTGATGGCCCGCCAGGCTCATAAAACACTGGGGGTGGAAACCCTGCACCGCATAAAAAGACACTTAACAGTTTTTTTTTTCTTACTGCCTGAAGTTAAATCAGACCAAATATCTCTTGTTTCAGGTCAGGTAGAATTGCCTCAATTATTTCTATTTGCTAAACAGCAAAAACTTGGCAAGATTTTTTTTCTAACTTTTTTTCAAACATAGAAGTTTAAATGCAGCTTATCAGAATCAGAGATCCTTTTTTTAAATTTTTAAATTTTTTTAGCTCCATGACCTAAATCAATGGGTTTCCGTCTGCTTACCTCTAACACAGGAGTGTCAAACTCCAGTCCTCGAGGGCCACTTTCCTGCAGTTTTTCGATGTGCCACAGGTACAAAACACAGAAATGAAATGGCTTCATGACCTCCTCCTTATTCTCCAGAGCCTTACTAATGACCTAGTTATTATATTCAGGTGTGGTGCAGCAGAGGCACATCTAAAAGTTGCAGGACACCGGCCCTCGAGGACTGGATGTTGACACCCCTGCTCTAACAGATTATTTGAGTTATTTGGAGACACAAATGTGGATGTATTTTAGGGCCACATCTGAAACCTACTGCTTTCCTGTTTGACAGTAGCCTGGTAAAGTCCTGCTCTTTGTTCTACACTTCACTCCGTAAAGCAGGTCTGGAAAGTCAAAACGACACCAGGAAGAGACCTGAAGGGCTTCCAAAGTCTGGTTCAATTCAGGAACAGTTTCCAGATGTCAGAAGATGCTGCGTTGGTGGTAGATGGCGAATGGCTTGTGCTGCTCTTTATTCCATCCAGAGAACCCCGAAGCGCTGTAGGGGTAATGCGTTATGCTGCTTCTGTTGGGAGGAACTAATCAGAACTCCAGCAAACCTGTGAGATATTTGAGCCAGGAAACCCAAAATATTTACCTCGAAAACAGTCAGAGGCGTAACTTCCTGAAGGACTGGTGTGGACATGTCCCCACCAACTTTGGCGGGAAGGGGACAGTCCCCACCAATATTTCCTGCATCCTTTTTTCTTTAAGCGACGTTGTATTCAAAGTAAATGTTTTTGTGTTTTTTTTTTTTGTGGCTTTTTTTAGTGTTAATTAATTCCTGATGCATTTGAACGTAATCTTCGGAGCTGTTGTGTATTGGTTGCTAGGGCAACGAGTCTGCACGTGCCGCAAAACGTACGTTTTTTCCCCTGGACAAATCGTGTCTTTTGGTTCGTAGAACGTGGCGTCATTCAGAGCAATCATCAAACAGGATGAAATATTTCATAAAGCGTGTAGGTTTATTAGCGGAGAGAATATTTATTTAAAATATCTAAACATCAGCAACTCTGCTTTAAAACACATTTTATCGGATCCACTGATGACTCCATTCACCAACTGCATGCGAGTTTTGGCGCCAGAAAAAAAAAAGGCCTTCCAGTGACTGTGGGTGTTAAACCCTGATATTGACCAAATGTATGCTAACCTCTGACCTCTGAGTTCAAACAAAGTTAAAAAGGAAAAAATCTCCTAAATAAAGTCTTGCTGCATTTTTTTTTTGTATTTAGAAAATAGTAATAATGTTGGTAATTCTAACCAGCCTAAAACAAGATAAGTTTGTCCTGATCTAACTTCCGACAGAGAAAATAAATTATGTTTGTGTCTTTTTTGTTCTGTGTAAGTAAACGTCAGGTGTCAGCTGTGTGCTTTAAAATGGAGAGAACAACCATATCTGCACTTCACCATGGCTTCAGTAATGTGGACTGTTTTGGGGTTGTTTTTTTTTTTTGTTTTTCTGCGTACAATACAGTGCAGACGCCTTTGTGTCATACTTGAAACTTAAACACTGAACCACAAACAAAAATGACTGAAGGTCTTCTGGTAATGAATCCTGGCCTGTGTGTGACAGTCTGTTACCTTAATAAAAAAAATAGAAAGAAAGAAACACTGCAAAATCAAATGTACAGGATCTGTTTGTATATTGTGCTTAACATATGTAGCTGTTTGTTATTATCTCTATGAATATGACAACAGGAAATTCATTAACAGAAGAAACGTGAAGGAGCTTGTTGGTACTGAAATGTTGTACTGCAGGATGTTTCTGTCGTTTGTGGAGCTGGAAAGCGTTTGTATGACATGAGCTGTTTTCTGTAGACGTAATGTCAGAGGTAACATAGGACCAAAATGACATCCTCTCTGTTCTTTGTTCATGAAATAGAACGTTCTCAGAAAAAATAAAAATGTCAACATCGCCTCTTCTTATCAGGTGTTTCTACGTGCAGATGCAAACAGATTCATTGGCACTCCTGGTTAAAAAAAATAAAATATTTTCCAAAACGTATAAAAAAAAAAAGTTCTTATTGCAGTAGCATAATCTCGCAATGAACCCTTTAGAAGATTTTCCATCCATCCATTTTCTAACACCCTTGTCCCCTGGTGGGGTCAGGAGGCGCTGGTGCCGACCTCCAGCCAACGTTCCGGGCGAGAGGCGGGGGTCACCCTGGACAGGTCGCCAGTCTGTGGCAGGGCAACACAGAGACAAACAGGACAAACAGCCATGCACACACACACTCACACATAGGGAGAATTTAGAAAGACCAATTAACCTGACAGTCATGTTTTTGGACTGTGGGAGGAAACCGGAGAACCCGGAGAGAACCAACACACGTACAGGGAGAACATGCAAACTTTAGAAGATTTTCAACCTTTAATTTGTATAAAGCTAGTCAATGGAGGGGGAAAAAAATGTGTCCCAGAAACAGGTAAAATAAAAAAATAAAATAATTATGATGGTACACTCTAGATAGTTCTCTCTGATGTTGCAGGTATTTAACATTGTTGTGGGGAATTAATTACAAAAGTTCTTTACAACCACTGAGTATTTGTAATGAACTGGTAAATCAATCTCATCAGCCTCTACTGCTGCTCCCTTGTAAATATCTCTGGCTTTGTGGTTTAAAGCTGCACTGAAATGTGTTGGATTTGATTCTTACTCATTACAAACTATGTCAGAGATTTTCTCTGCTCTGCATGAACAAAGCCTTCTTCTCAAGTCTCATGACATTTGTGGTTGTAGTAAAGGCAGCAGTGTTAGTTCACTATTTGAGTGTTTAAGATAATGATTAGCATCTCCAGGTCATAAAAATAAACCTAAACAAAGTGTTGCCATGGATACGCATCATACCAACTGCCAAAAACTAAAAAAAAAAGAGCAAAAAACGTCCAACTGTATGTCATCCAAAACCAGAGGGGACAACTGTCCTAAGATGCAATGCAAAGATAACAAAAAAAATCATGAACAAAAGAAAGAATCAATCAGAGCCTCCATGACACTATATAACCATCCCAACCCCAATATGGAGGACAGGAAGGTGAGGAGAGGATGATGGGGAGGTTGGTTGGTCAGTGTGGTAGATTCCTCAAACACTCACATCATCATTCCAGAGATGAAGGAAAACTGTGATGTCACAACTAGAGCCATGCTTGTGATGTCATCATCACTGTATGTATGTAACAAACTTCTACATTCTGGTCATTGCTTGCTGCACTACTGACAAGTTCAGACCTTCACAAAACGCTTTCAAAGTTGAACATGGAGATTGTTTGTGGATCAAAGCTGATTTTAACAAACATTGTTTTGTCCAAACATGTTGAACCAAAGGACACATTCGTCCAACGGTGAGATGAGACCCCAGCATGGAGCCTGGAGAGCTGGACAAAATCTGCAAGGCTGGATTGAACAGAACGCCTCCCATTGAGTTACAGAGAGACATCCAGAGACTTGGCTCTCTTTTGGAAAAGGACAGAGCAAGATGGTTTGAGGAGAACCAAAAGCTGCTCAACGTGCAAAGAGGACTGGAGAAAACAAAAGCTGAGTTACAAGGACAGAAAAGACTCAAGGAGATGAAGAGAGAACTACTGACAGGAGAAGAGTTTTCTGATTCAGAGTCTCTCAGACGAGCTATAATCACTTCCAGGAAGCACAGAGACATAAAACACAAGATGAAAAGGCTGCTGCAGGAGGAATTTGAGCTCATATTGTTGGTAAGGAAGCATTCAGGACACAAATCCAGGCAGAGAAAGAGAAAAGTGACGCCATCCAACCAGAGCTGGACCAAATCAAGACTCACTACGAGGAGCTTCAATCGAAATATGAAGCTGCAGGTCGACATGCAAATGTTTTATGAAGAAAAATCAATGAGCAAAAGCTCCTTGAAAACCTGAGAGCTGAGAAGGACGATCTCCAAGAAAAAATGTCCAAGGAAATTGACGGCCTGCAGGATCATAGTTGGACTATGATCTTATGACAAAACACACGCCAACGTCTGCCACCAGTTTTTCTGAGCTCTCTTTCTTTCAGTCCAAGAGAGTTGATTTGGAGGAGGATTTTTATGATCTTTTCAAAATGTTTAAAAGGGACTTTTTCTTTTGGAATTAGTTTTTGACTTACATGACAAGTTCCTGCGAAGGAAAAGATCCGCTCCAACTTCCACTGTCGCCTCCGTCCCTCTGGCCCAGGCCACATCGTCTCCAGATCCAGATCCTCTCACCTGCAGCCTCTCTGCTGCAGCCTCTCTGCTGCAGCCGGAGGATGATGGGGGAGGCTGGTTGGTCAGTGTGGTAGATTCCTCAAACACTCACATCATCATTCCAGAGTTGAAGAAAAACTGTGATGTCACAACTAGAGCCATGCTTGTGATGTCATCATCACTGTATGTATGTAACAAACTTCTACATTCTGGTCATTGCTTGCTGCACTACTGACAAGTTCAGACCTTCACAAAACGCTTTCAAAGTTGAACATGGAGATTGTTTGTGGATCAAAGTGATTTCAACAAACATTGTTTTGTCCAAACATGTTGAACCAAAGGACACATTCGTCCAACGATGAGATGAGACCCCAGCATGGAGCCTGGAGAGCTGGACAAAATCTGCAAGGCTGGATTGAGAACAGAACGCCTCCCATTGAGTTACAGAGAGACATCCAGAGACTTGGCTCTCTTTTGGAAAAGGACAGAGCAAGATGGTTTGAGGAGAACCAAAAGCTGCTCAACGTGCAAAGAGGACTGGAGAAAACAAAAGCTGAGTTACAAGGACAGAAAAGACTCAAGGAGATGAAGAGATAACTACTGACAGGAGAAGAGTTTTCTGATTCAGAGTCTCTCAGACGAGCTATAATCACTTCCAGGAAACACAGGTGAGGAGAACCTGCAGGTCGACATGCAAATGTTTTATGAAGAACAATCAATGAGCAAAGGCTCCTTGAAAACCTGAGAGCTGAGAAGGACGATCTCCAAGAAAAAATGTCCAAGGAGATTGACGGCCTGCAGGAAACAGAGAAGCGTCTTCAGAGTGAACTGGTGCTGTATAAGATTTGATACCAAGAATTAAACAGGAGTTATGAAGCAGGCATTTATCAGTATGAGGTGAGTTGTGAGAAAGAAGCTAATTTGGAAAGAGCCAAGAATGACCATCATCTTATCAATGGACTTATTGCTGAAAAGAACAATCAGCATCAGAAATTTGCACTAGAGTTCTCTGTCCTGCAGCAGCAATCCACAGAGACCATGAAACATCTCCAAAGTGAACTGGATAAAGTTTTTAACCAGGAACTTAAAATGACATGTGAAGGAGATGTTTCTGCCTTAAGACAGCAAGCAGAAATATTTAATCAGGAGATAGATAAAGAGATGAAAGCTGACATTCAGAAAATGTTGAGGGACTAAAAGATTATCAGAGAACTTGGACCTGAGAAGGACAGTCTCCAAAAGCAAGTCACTGTCCTCCAACATCGGTACTGTAGCTGTGAGGTTAATTATGAAACAGAGCTGGAAAATGTGAAAACAAGACTGAGATGAACCAGGACCTCCAAGAAGAAAAGTGTCCAGGCATCAACAACCAAACTGGGAAAACTACACTATCCCTGTAAAAACCATTTATGAGCCTGAATCCATGGATCTGGAACATCTATTAGAGAATCTTGAATTTCCTGATGCATCTCCAAGGAGCTAAATGACTTCGTAAACCAGATGCTGAGAGATTCAAGTATCCTTGATCCCAAAGCCTGCGATTATGTAGTGGATGAAATGAACGGGGAGCTCAGGTCTGGATATGGACTGTTGTGAAGCTCACTGGCATTGAGCCTCTTTTAAACTTAAGTGTTAAGAATCACTGCATGGATAAAGCGCTTTGCTACTAACACAAGATCATGTCTGAAGGACCAGGAAAAGTTAACTAGAGAAGAACTTAGTGCAACTGAAATGTACTGGTTAAAGTCTTCAAAGTCTTTAAAGTCTGAAATATTGCAGCAAAGGTCAAAGCAGAGGTCAAAGCAGAATGCGAAAGTAGATTCCAAAACCAAAGATTTGAAAGCACTCTTTGATGAAAATGGTACTAGGTGTTGGGGGAGGACAGTAAACCCAGACAGATGTGGGTAGAATGGTGGAGGTCTTTCCAGGGAGTTTTGGTCTCATACCTTCATGCAACGTTTGGACTTCTACTGGTGGCTTGTTGCACAGGCCTGTTCAGTCATTGTTTCCTTTAGAGGTGTTTTAAATGAAAGGTAAATCCTGTACAGATGAACAGTTGTTGATGTTGTCACTTCTGTACATTTATATGTTGTTAAGTACAATTTGTATGATAAGAGACTTATTTACAAGTTAAGCATAATTTACATGATAATTATTACTAATCAAATTTAAAGTGATTGTATATATTAACAAAAGGTGAAGTGAAACATATTTAAGTGCGAGGCGTGACTCTGTCTGTATATATATATATATATAATTTCTCTTTTTCTTTTTATGAACTTATTCTATCATTTTTTTGTACAGCACTTTGGTGCAGCTTAAAACCAGTTTTTAAATGCTATTTAAATAAATTTGACATTGACACACACAATTCGAAAACGTATCTGTTCCCTTGATCATTTTACCACAGCAACAGTCGAAAGTGGAGGCGATTGATTGGTTCACGCCGTGACAAAAAATAAAAATCTCCTGAAAAGGTTTACTCCCAAATCCTCCCAGATGGACTTGCTTCCCTCTCAGAAGGTCGTATTCGGGTTTGCATAATGTATCGTTTATGAGCTCATATGACCACTGTATCTTTTGTGGCAAACTTAATCACCCGGTGCCACATGCACAGAGAGTCGATCTCGGTCAGATGCATCTGATGACCCTCCACCAGTACAGCTCACTTACATGCACCAATAGCTTCACAGGCTCCATCAAACATGTCAAAACAACTTTCG